CCTGCTCACACACCTGAACATTACCTGAACATCACCCACTTGATATCCTGGTAGAATGCCTTGTGGGATTTTCATGAGGGCTGGCGTATCAATCCATGTGCATGTACGATAGTGTGGATAACCAGAGGTGGCCAGGCCATGGAGCAAGGGGACAGAATGCAGAAGGCTTCCCAGGTGTCTGTGTGCTGACCTGCTGAGCCTGCCACGGTGCTGCTAAGTGAAGATGGACAAGAGCTCTTAAGGCTCTGCATCTTTAAACTGCAGCTGTGCAGGTCGGGCCTTCAAACAGAGGACTGTCCTCTGTGCCAGAGGACACGTGGCCACCCCATCAAATCAGGCAGCAGCCTGGGGCCGGCTGCACCAGGAGAGTAGGCAAAGTGTCTTCCGCAGTGCAAGCACTTTGAGCGCAGCAGGGGCAACATCAAGCTCAGTGCCTTGTGTCACCACTTGGGTCTGAGGGTGGGCAAGGCCAGGGATGGGCTGCCCTTCTCACCACCAGGAAGGGGAGGAGTAGATCTGTGAGCTTGACGGAGGACTGCGACACAGGGCTGCCTCTCTAGCACCGCCTGATGTCTCCTGGGGGCTTGGCTGAAACTCAGGCCTGGCCCTACCATTACGCAGGGGGAAGCAGTGGCCTCTGGCAGCAGGTGCCGAGGGGCAGCAGCTTCTCGTACTGAGCCCAGCAGCTGATCTTCTCTTGGAAGGACCACAGGTGCATCTGCCACGTGGCCTGGCCTGTTTTCTCAGCAAAGGAAACAGCTCTCCCATTGTCTCAGAGCAAGGGGGGGGGGTGCTGGCCCATCAGCAGGCAGCCTCTGCACATGGGACGGTAGAACTGAAGGCAAGCTGGTTTGAGATGGCCTTGCTGACACTCTGGACTCTGGGCCTGTGCAACACACACATGGTGTCAAAACTTGTCACATGGTGGCGTTTTCACACATGGATCTTGTGTGCGAGAGTGCGTGTCAGGTTTCGGCACCATTGTGCCATTGCCGATGGCACAAGCCCTGGGGGGACCCACTGCACTCGTGGCACTCGTGGACTTGCACACCTCCCAGAAAGAGGAAGTGCATCACCAAAAAAGAGGACAGGAAGCTGTGTCAAATTCACATATGCTGATTTATAGAGAGAGGGGAAAATGTGAACATCATGTGTGTTTTGTTTAATAGTATTGCTTTTATTGTATATGTTGTTTGATATTTATGACTTTGTTAACCACCCCTTGAGCCATTATGGCTAATGGGCGGTGTAGAAATTAAACTAATAAAATACTTCTCACCATGTTGGAGAAGATTGCGATGAGGGGATCTGTCTGCCTGCCTATTCCGTCTCCTGTCTAGGTATTAACAGCCATTGACACACAATGGTTTTCCTTAAGATTAAGGTTAAGGAAAACCCTTGAAAGCCTTTCAAACATTATTACATTTATAGTCCCCTTTTTTTCCTTTTTGCTCCTGCAGGGAACCCAAGGCAGCTTACATGGTGTTTCTGCTCCCCATTTCACTCTCACAACAACCCTGTAAGGTGGGTTAGGGCAAGAGTCAGTGGCTGCCCCAAAGACACTTGGCAAACTTTATGACCAACTGGGGATTAGAACCCCCATCTCCCAAGGCCCAGTCCAGCACCCTGACCACTAACCGCTCTGAGCGCCGAAGTCTGGGGCTGTAAAGCAGGACTCACAGCCATTTGACCTCAACTGCAGCCAACCTTCTGCCCTCAAGGTTACTTACACACGCACAGGTAATGCGAAATCACCCTGAACTTAGTGGCTTTGGGTCACAGGATCTGGATAAGAACCTAAACCAAGAAGAGCGATGTGACCGCCTGGCCTGTGTCGGCTGAGTTTTCCTTTCACCTTGCTTCCTCCGGACAGACTGTCATGACTTCCATCATGGAAGCAATGGCTCAGCCGCTTCGTGTTTCGAGACAGGCAGCCCAGGCAACCACAGTGTGATGCTCTGAGCTGGCGTGCTGTTCTTCCCCGCCCTCCTCACACTGTGCCAGGATGGCTTTGAAGAGAAAGCAAGAAAAGAAAAACCCCGCAGCATCTGCATTTAGGCACCGCCTGCTCTGGAAAACATCCCTTGTAGGTTGAGAAGGAAAACCACAGGTGACGGAGGCGGAAGGCCAGCGTGAGGGCACAGCATGATTCACAAGCAGTGTGCCATTATTTCTCTGCTAAGAGGCCTCGCAGTGTGAGGCAGGGTAAACTCTGCACCTCCATTCCTGGAGGGTCAGGGATCTAAGCTGGCTGTTCCAGTTGGCCTGCAGAGTAGAACACACTGTTGAAAGTGCAGGTCGAGTCTTCTTTCTGTACACAGATTGCTGATAGCAGTCTGAGGTCATCGAATCACAGAAGAGTAGAGTTGGAAGGGGCCATGAAGGCCATCGGGCCCAACCCCCTGCTGCTGCAGGACACCAGTTTATACCATCCCACTCAGGATGGTCCAGTTTTGCCCTGAATTTCTCCAGTGTGGGAAAGCCCACGACCTCTCCAAGCAGCTGGTTCCACTGTTGTATTGCTCTGACAGTGAGGAAGTTTTTCCTGATATCTAGCCTGAACCTGGGTTGTCGCAACTTGGCTTGATTTTTCCATGTCCTGCACTCTGATATCAGTGAGAAGAGATCTTGACCTTCCTCTTTGTGACATCCTTTGAGGTCCTTATAGAGAGATGTCATGTCCCCGCTCAGCCTTCTCTTCTCAAGGCTGAACATGCCCAGTTCTCTCAGTCTCTCCTCATAGGGCAGTGTTTCCAGACCCTTGATCAGTTTTGTTCTTCTCCTCTGGACCCTTCCTAATTTTTCCACATCCTTCTTAGATCTGATTGACTAGTGACTGGTGTTTCTTCAAGGGGTTCTCAACAGTGATGTGAGGCTGATTCTGTGGCTCTAATTAACTTGCATGTCCCAAGTGAAATTGCCTCTCCAAAGCTGGTCTTTGCATTGCATTTCAGGGGATGGGGTAGTCCTCTGCCTGATAGTCCTCTGTTTCAGCTGTCTTCTATTTGAAGGTTGGTCATTTCCAGTTTAAAGCTAAAGAAGCAAAATAGTGGTTGCCCATCTACTCCTAGCACCTGGAAAGGCAGGCAAGTCCCCTGGTCACAGTCACCTGCGGTATGGTGAAGTGCCCTGTATTTCTGTTGGAAATGTCATCATTGCCATGCCTGCATCTACACGTACACAAATTAGTGTATGCAAATCAGTGCAGTATCCTCTTTGTTTCTGGTGATTCATAATTGGCAGTCCTAAGGGATGTTCCCAGTGGAATGTGAATTCCTTTGAAATGCAAATGGAAGCTTTACAGAAGCGTTTTTATGGATCATGGTTGGGGGTGGGGCTGGGGGAGAGAAAGAGTGGGCTTAGACAACAAAATAACCCACACTCAAGAGCTGACCATGGGTTGAGTCTGGATTGTCTTTGAACCCATGGGTTATTGTTGAAACGTGGGTTGTCATGTTGTCTGAACCCAACTGAAACGACAAATGGAAATCCAACAAGAAACCAAGGGTTCTGCTCATAGGTTATCCAGTTCATAGTTGTTAACAATGCCATACGCACACGCACGCACACACGTCTGTTAATCCAGCTGGTTTCAGATGCCACTCACATTTCAACAACAATCCATGGTTCAATGACAACCCGCACTCAACCCAAACTCAACAATTCAGTGAAGGTTACTTTGCAATTAACCTCAGGTATAATTTGGCCCATGTAGAACGACAACCACAGTGTCTTCCTGCATAGGGAAGCAGGAAGCATGTGACAACATTAAGGGAATGCAGTAAGTATCCTAGGGAAAGTGGTGCTCTCCTGATGCATTGGACTATGGGAGTTGGAATTTAATGGAATAGGTTGGGGGAAATTGCTGCAGTAGCTCATCTTGTGTGAGTCCTGTTTCCCCAAGCCACTGAAACTTCCATTTCAGACAAGCAGCTCCCATGCTGAAAGAACAGACTCAGGCATTCCTGTTCAGCCACTGCTCTCTGCAAATGCAGAACCTGGAAGGGCAGGGCAGTGACATTCAAGATCCCGAGCAATGTAGCATTCGTTTTTTAAAGGGGAGAATTATCCTGTTAGCCCCCAAGGATGCAAAGTTTGGCTTCAAAGGGTGCAAGCCATGCCCAGTAAACCCCAGAAGCCCAAGTGAGTCCAAGTAAGATTCCAGGTAGCTTGGAAGTGGAGCTTCTTCACCCACATCTCTCCCAATGGGAAGTGGGAGCAGAATGAGACCAATGTAATTGCTAAGTTGAAAGGGATGCTAGGAGCATCCAATCCAACCTCCGCCTCATACTGACAATAATAAACAAATACATATATGCTTGATAATACCCACAACTGCCGAAATCAGTTCTGTTTGGTACAAAATCATTCATTCATTCATTCATTCATTCATTCATTTATGAATGAAATTTATAGGCCATCCATTGCTGTCGTCTCTGGACAGCTTACAATATATTATAAATCCTAAACAAAATAAATTGGCTACACCACGACTGAGTATACAATGACATGGTTAAAATAAATTAAATGAATAAATATACCAATAAAATTAATTAGCTTTAAAATATTGGTCAGATAAAAAGGTCTTGATCTGGTGCCAAAAAGCATATAATGACGGCGCCAGGCAGATCTCTCTAGGGAGCACATTCCATTCCATCTCTTTTTTGGCATGTGCTTGGATACAGTTTGCACATTTTGGAAATCCAGACTCTCATATATTTCTGAATCAAAATTATGTAACCTTCCTGTTGGTCGCCTTTGCAAGGAAGCTCAGGCATGAAAGAAAAGATGCTTCACCTGTACATGACATGCTACCTTTTGGTGCTCAGGGAAGTTTCCAGGGGCACCACTTGCATCCTGAGATTCTGAGGTGCCACAATTTCATGGGAGGACTATACCACATGCTCTTCAGAAAGGCTGATCACAAACCCCAAGGACTCCAGGCGCAGGTTGCCCTCCCAATTGGCTATCGTAACAATAACCCCTTTCGCTCTCTTTAGTTGCAGGTTGTAAAGTGCCACGCAGCAGCTTACCACCACAGACCGTGCGGAAATTACTGGAACAAAAACGGCAACAGCAGTCTGTCCTAGGCCACAGCACTGGACCCTTGGTGAGTCACATGCCAAAACCAGTTTTGGTCATCCCCTCTCCCCACCACAACCCCCAACAGTCGGTAGCTTTAATTTTGCTCCAAAAACCCAGCTATGGGATCTTGGCAGAAGAGCCTTTTGAGGGAAGGGCCTCAACTTGGTGGAAGCAGAGTGTATGCTGGTTACTCAAAAGATCCCAGGTTCAGTTCCTGGCATCTTCAGGTAGGGCTGGGAAAGACTCCGTCTTTGGCAGTGAAGCGCTCTGTTGAAAAAGGGAGTACAGGGGTTTATTCATTAGAGAAAACTGTATGTGAAAATGCACAGGTGAGTGGAAGGAGCATTAAAAGTGCACTAGATTAAGAAAAGTGCTTGCACACAGTGTGTACATTAGCCAAAATTGTGAACAAATATGCATGCATTAGGGGAACACCTCCTCCCACCCCCACCCCCAGTTCTAAGACTGGGAAAATTCTCAGTAAATGGGGCAAACCAAACTTAAGACTGGAAAAATGAAAAACTGAGAAAAACAGAAACTGACAAAACTGTTTTCCTCACCCCTAATGATTGCTCACATCAGCCCAGCCAGCAGGGCCAATGGTCAGGGCTGATGAGAGTTGTAGTCCCTTTATCTCTCCTGAATTGCCTGACCACTGGTTTCAGTGTTGGAGGCTGAAGTGCTGAGCCAAGAGTCAACAAATTCTGGCCAGAACTGGCACTAGCATGAGTTCCACAAACTTCGGGGTGCCGTCGGGGCTAGCTGTGTGGGGAGTCCTTGGGCTGCATTCATGCAACTTGGAAAACATAAGAATGGGCATTTGGGATCAAAGCAGGCAACAGTGTAGCACTGCAGGCAACCTTGTCCAGATCCATTCAGGCTTGCCACCATAACTGACCCTCTGGTCTTCTCTTCTCCTCCTGCCCAGATCTCCCCAGGAGCTCTAGAAGCCAACCAGCCAGGTGAGTGGTTATGGTCATTCTGGGAGGCACGTCTCTTCACTCCAGCTGAGAAAGCTCTCCTTGCTCTTTTCCTTCCAATGAGCTTCCTGACGTTCATTTCTGAAGGTGGGAGAGGAATGTTCTCAGACACAACCAGAAGTTGTTCTTTGCTTTGAGGCAAAGAGAAAGAGAGGGTGCCACTGTGGATGCTGGGATCACATCTCAGTTCTTCCATGGTTGCGTGGAACCCAATGCCAGCAGCACCTGGGGAGGCTGGTCACACCTGCGTCAGGTATTCTTGGTCCATTGCAGCCCGCCTGTTCAGTTTTGTAGGAGCTATCCATGGTGTGCCATAAAGGTGATCCTATCTGTGGGACTGAGGTGGAGCACCATGGATAGCTCCTACATAGCTGAAAATCTGCCTTCAAAGAAGATGAGGAACCCACTTGGCATGGGAGTCACCAGCCTCCCTGAGTAGCACCAGGGCTTGTTTCCTTCCTTCCTGCACAGCTCGTGAGGCCAGGCAGGTGCAGGTATATCTGGCCCACCCTTCCCACCTGTGGGTGCCAGGCCTATTTCCTTTTGGACAGCCTTCTCTAATCTGGTGCCCTCCAGATGCCCTGAACTTCAGGTTCCATAATGCTTGACCATGAGTCATGCTACTAGCGAGCCAGATGAAAAGAGATAAAGTTCCCAGTTTTAGCATTGTGGACCCATGCTGGAAATTGTGTGGGAAGTGCCTGTGATGATCTCATAGGATGGGAGGAGTGGCCTAATACAATTGCCTGGTGGTTAAGAGATGGAGCTTCAGTCTCTGGCATAGCTTCTTGCTCCACCCCATGACTAGCAAAAGTCGGGGAGCGGCAGGGACATGATGCAAAAGTAGATGCAGCCGTACTCAGTTGGCATGATCCATAAGTTTAAGGAATCCTGCTTGTCTTGGCCCCAGTTGTAGGACAGAGTTTTGATTCCTTTCGTACATGGCAGATGCATCCTTGGCCATCCCACCTGTGAATTCCGCACCTCTCTATCATACAAGAAGGCTGACTAGTTAGAACAACTATTCTGTGCCTCCTTTTATCTTTGCTTAGCTGAGTCCTTCTTCCTAGAACCCCCTGGAGGACCAGAAGGAGGGGGACCTATTCCAGGACAGACAGCAGCTCCAGAGTACCCCATCACTACCTTTCCCACCTGGCAGCCAGACCCCTCAAGCCAAGCAGCTTTCCCCGTGGACTATTCCTACAACTGTCTGGACACCACCAAGGACTTCCTCCTCCAGCCTCCAGAGGTTCAGTATGACATGATGGACCCATTCTCACCTTTGGAAGCAGGCGTTTATGGGGCTTCAGGACCTGGGCCTACAGAGGAAGCATACAGTTCCAAGATGGCACCAGTGGTGGAGTATGAGGTAAAACTGGTTTGTGTGTGTGTGTGTGTGTGTGTGTGTGTAGCTCCATGGCCTTGGAAGGGACTCAAAGTAGAGATGTATCCATACTACAGTTTTCAACTGAGTTTTGAAAGGAATGTGCCAATCCCAGAGAATCCATGGAAATGTTTGAGGAAACTCTTCCAACTACAACTTCTCAACTGGGGACTTCTCTACAGAACATTTTGCAAGAGATTCTTTGGAGGCAGCTCTGATGGTGTAATATATCTGGGATATTCATATGGTTAGGTTGGCCACTTAGGAATTGCTGAAAAGAAGATGAAAGGAGGACAAAAAAGAGAAGACAATGATTTGCATAATATTTTCTGGGATTAAAGCTGGGACAGACAACCTTTCCAGGTCACAAGCCCAGGTGGCATTTGAGAAAACTTTCCCAGGCACCAGCACAAAATGGCTGCCTGAGGGAAAGGGTGAGTACAAGACACAGGTGGGGTCTGAGCCTCAACGTTCCCAACACCTTTTACCCCACAGTTTTCAGCACCAACGGAAACCTATTTCACAGCAATCCTAGCTGCTGGCAAGGAAATGCTTTAATTAAAAGATTGATTAATTAATTGAATCAATGAATGCATGCATGCATGCATTCATTAATTAAATAATATGCATTCTTGGTACCTTCGTAGGTGCCAAGAAAAGTGTCTGGAGGTAAACTGGTGCCTGGAGGATCGTTGCCTACTCTTTGCCTACCCTGTCTTTATAGATACAGATGCAAATCAAGAAATAATTATCATTATTTGAATAGCAGTACAGAGCAGCTCAGTGCAGTGTGGAAGACCTGAGTGCCTGCTGGCCAGGTGCAAACTGGGATCTGCAGCAGTTCCTTGCGTTCTTTATGCTTAAAGCAGACTCAGACAGGATAACTTTTCCGAAGGGGGATCCCTTCAGATAGTCTTTTGGAGAGCACATCACCCCACTAAAAGACCTGGGATAGTGGGCTGGCCGTGGGCCCATCTGGGAAGGACCAGGCCTCAGCCCTTCCGGCATAAACTTCAGGAGCCATTTTATGATTCAGGCCCCCACTGCATCCCCACAGCTGTGCCTAGCAGCCTCCAACCATTTGGGCGATGCTCAAGCTACTCCATGGCATAACGAAATGGCTCCAGGAGCACTGTTCTGAAATCAGACCATGTAGATGCAGTGCTATGATCTAATCTCACTGCCGCATTCTGTAATGTCCTTCCAGGAGCCTATCCAAATTAGGAGGCAGGTTATGGAATCTTCCTTCCCACATGCCTGGTCGATTGCAGTTGCTGGCGAGCAAGAGATGAATGGCCCTTCTCCTGCTTAGATCCTAATTCTATGTGTTAGGCTAGCAAGCACATGTTTGTCAGGTCTGGGGTTAGTGCTGGGGCAAATTACTTGGACCCAGTTTTGGGTCCCAGGCAATGGGCAGCTGGGCTTGTGCAAGCTGCCTTCCATTTTAATTAGCTGCATTGCCCTGATGTAGCAGATCTCCAGGACATTATGAGAAATTAAAAAGTCATCTCTTCCCCACACAAACACATGGGTTTAAATGGCTTGCACTGATCCAAACCACCGTGACATTGAGTGGTCTGGGGGCCCTTGTGAGCGATTTGAATAACAGCCCGTTCATAGCCAGCCAGTCCATCTTTGTGCATTTTTCCCCATAAAATACCAAGGAAGGGGCATTTTTAGCAGTGAATGGCACTGAGAGGGTGGGATGTGCTGCCTGCAGAAGTCAGCTGCTTCTCTGTTTTTGCTTGTGGAATGTTTCTTGGTGATGCTCTGGGTTCACAGCAGATTTTGGCTTGTGACTCTGTTGGGGCCATTTTGTCACTTGAGACACTTGCTTCGACTCAGCTGTGCTTCGAGAGGCTTTGCATGAGGTTGAACAAGATGACAGCCCACCACACTGAAGGGCTGGAGCTGGGTAGAGTGTGGGTTGTCATTCAACCATGGCTTATTGTTGAAATGTGGATCTTCTTCTTGTCTGAACCTAGGTGGCTTATTGGTAACAAACTAGACATGAAAAGAATCCAGGATGTGTTTTCTGGTTGTGCACCATGATTGTTCCCCATGGTTTGTTACTACACCTGGGTTCAGACAACACAATAACACAGATTTCAACAGTAATACATATTCAATCTATACCTAACTCCCGAGTGTGAACACGGGTTGTCTGAACTGTCATTGTGTCAGAGTTTTTGAATCCTAGGAAGCTGCTTTGTGCTTTCTTGCAACAGTGAGCCAGAATTACCATCATTCTTATTGAGTGTGGCACAGGGGTGCGGAACCTTAGTACCAGTGGCCAAATCCAGTCCTCTGAAATTCCCCAGAAGGCCACACTCTCCTCCTATCCCCATCCCTTTCACCCAACCACCAACCCAAGAGCTTTCCAAACCTTTGTGCCATTTTCCCTCCATTATAAAAGTTTAAAATTTTCTCCAAAGGCTTAGTTAGTGTCAGTAAGAACTTGAGGCCAAAATAAGCAGCATGTTCGGAATTTTAGCTCTACCTCTTTCATCTTACCCCCTCCCCCCCGCCCACCACCACCACCACCACCACCACCATTTCCTCTGACCCCACACATCGCCAGAACATCACCACCGAGAGTTGCTCCAAATGGTCCACAGGCTGAGAGAGGTTCGGTGCCCCTGGTCTAGAATATGCAATATTTGGTGTGGGCTCTTTTCCTTGAGGCCAATCACAGGAAAGATGGCAGGGTAGCAAACAGGGATGATGCTGGGTGAGCTATTGCAGGGCAGGCCCAGAAGAACATGCATCTTGGAGAGGGGAGAATGCCCCTGTTTCGATGCCTCTCAGCTGTGTATTTTCCCCTCTCAGAAGGCAGCCACTGAGGCCCAGGCCTTGAACCTCTATCCCTCCTCTGGAGGCCATTGGCCAGGACAGGAACAGAGCAACCTTTGCCTCCTTCCCTCTGGAAATTACCAAGCCGCATCTCTGGAGGTGGATCCCGGGGAACTGGCCCAGGCTCGGGCGCGGATCCAGAACATGGATCTGGCTCACCTGCTACAGCAGGATGAGGACGGAGACATGTGAGTATGCGACCGAGGCAGCGTCAGCTCCAGGTTTCAGAAGGCACTCGGGCAGGGCACCTTCAATGGCACCTTCCCTCTTCTTCAAGAAACTCACCTTCTCTCCACCTTTGTCACCAGCTGCTGTTGCACCTCATCCTTTCTCTCATTATTGCTACCAAGACCCCTCTCAATGTTTGCACTCATAATATAGGCCACAGTAGCTAATCTATATGCATAGATGCAAAGTTTAGAAGCAGCTATTAGGATTTCGAAAGAATGCCATTCATCTGCCCATCGTTTGAGTGGCTGGGACCAGGGGCCTCTGTGGCTCTCTGCTTGGTCTTCTGACCAGCAGCTAACCATGAGCACACCCTCTTCCTTCTTCTTTCTATACTTTGGGTTGGACCCCAGTTGAACTTGGGTCTTGTTGATTCCAATGAACCTGCTCTTAAGTATGGCTAAAACTGGACCTAACTTTTTCTCTTTAAACTGGACTTGAATTGAACAGCCCTTCAGACAGAGGAGTGCCTTCTGTAAAGTAGGACAAGTGAGCATTCTGCTAGGGAAAGGAGGAGTGGGAAGGGTGAAGGTCTAGACAAGGATGGCACAGCCCCAGAGGCAAATGCATGATGGGTTCTCGGGTTGAGGGACCCAGGCCAGTGACAGGGGCCTGTGAAAGGTGGTGGGAAGGTGAGTTAGCATGGGAGGTGGGTAGCCACATGTTGCTTTCTGGGTTTTAACTATTCCAAGCTCCTCCTCTTCAGGCTCCTCCATCTGCTTGTGGCTCAGGGACACCGCCCACTGGCTTACGCTGCTGCTGAGACGCTACGAGACTGTGGGCAGCTGGATGTCAAAGAGCACAGGGGGAAGGTGAGGTCATGGCTCAGGTGGGCGCCATCCTTCTTTCACAAAGGATGCCGGATGCATCTCAAGTTCTTCTGGCCGCAAAAAGTGTCTCTCCCATCACCCGGGACGTGCCCTGCATCATGGAACGTTCTGTGGCTGCTGCCTGCTGGGACTGGTGGGGCAGGAATCACATTCATCCATGGCTGCAACAGCCTGTTGTGGAGAAAGGGCAAATTGATCTTGAGATCAGGCCTGCAAAGCAGATGATTGGCTGGGGAAAGATCTGCAGAGCAACACAGAAGCACCCCTTGGGATCTCCCCCCCCCCCTTTTTTTTTTTTTTTTTTTGGTGCAGCAACAATGCTTTTGGCCTAAAGAAAATAACTCAAGGCAACACCATTGGTGCAAAGCAGAAAAGTGGGGAATGCTCTCTTTCACAAACAGACACAAACGGGCACCCATAATTTTACAATCCAGAAGTTGCTGCCCCTCCCACACAAGCAGCAAGCTGCCTCTGGTGCTATACTGCAATCTGAAACAAGGAAGAATCCAAAATCCATATTGTGTGGTGTCTTTATTTGAAGGTCTCCATGGTTGCCCATAGTCTCAGCCAGGAACTTTTCCCAGCCCCACCAGGAGCTGTCAGGAGCTGAACCTTGCAGGAATTGGGCTTGGGGGAAAAGGACCTTTTTCAAGCCTCCTTGTTTCATGGAGGTGTGGTAGGATTGAGATTTCTGTACGGATGCTGTCAGAGCTTCCCTCCTCAGAGATGCTGCACTGAGCTGCCCAGGCAGAAAAGGGTGCTCCGTTTCTTCCTCGGCAAATTGCTTTGCTTCCAAGTTATGTGCTGCGAAAGGGCCTTCCTTATCTCAGCTCTCAGCATGGAACGGTAGCAGGCTGCCTGGCACACCACAGGCAGGTCGATGGAAGTGGAGGTGGAATATTGCAAAGGAGGGGAGGAGATGCTGGTAGGCCCAGGGTGGTAGGATGACGTAGCCACTCCAGCTTTCTGTCTGAACTGTGAAGGAACTATCCATGGTGCTGGGCCATTTTGGGATGAGGTTCTGCCCCACAGACAGTTGAACTAAAAGCCAGAGTGGGTACACCGCACATTGGCATTGGAACCACCAGCCTCTATGGAGTCATGGTAAGGGGAGCCAGGTTGCAGGCCAGATGGAGAAGCCAAGTAAGCTACATATGCCCCTGGTGCCGTCACAGGAACAAACGATGGGTACCGACACCACCACCAGATGATAATTCTGCCCTAATAGGCTGCTGCTGAAAGATGCAGCCAGCTGAGGCAGTTGAAAAGTTGCCCGCCCTTATCTTCACCATACCTGATGACAAGGAGTTCCTTCCATCCACTGCCACCCCCTAGGACTGCTGCCCTAGGCGGCTGCAAAGAGCCACCCACTCCCCACTCATGGCCCTTCTCCTCTGTGCCTAGACTCCACTGCTGGTGGCAGCCGCAGCAAATCAGGCCAACATTGTGAAAGACCTGATCCTACTGGGGGCGGATGTCAATGCTGTTGACCAGAAGGGCCAGACTGTGTTGCACCTTGGCGCCACCTATGGGCTGCCCAGTGTCATTGAGGTGAGTGTGGCTGCCTCCTTTCCCACAGAGCAGGGGTGGGGACCCTGATTTCAATTTGGGAGACACTCTCGGGGGGGGGGCGCGGCACTGGTTGAAATGGACAAAGTAGCAGGTGGCTCTCCTGCATTAGTCCCTGGAGAGCTACTGCCAGAAAGAGCAGCATATTCTAGGCCATTGACCATGCTGGCTGGGGATGAAAGGTGTTATAGTCCCGCACATGAGGTCAACATACTGGGAAAGGCTGTGCCATCTGTTTATTTAGCCCAAGCTTTCCGGGACAGGAAACCACCACCCCTTTTCGGCATCTCCCTCTGACGTGGCAAGATGTTTATTGCTGCAGTGGAAAAGCATGGCTGCCCCCTTGGGAAGGCATGCTGGGATGTACTACTGTTCCCAGGATTGTTAATTCCATTTATATACCACCCAGTGGCCCAAGTTCTCTGGGTGGTTAACAAGAAGACATAAAATACGATAAAAAACAGTTCAAGTATGTTTTTTAAAGGGTACCAATTAATAGGAAAAAATGAACTAGCATTGTGTTCTAAATCATATGAGGACTTAAAACATCTGACTAGACCAGTGCAGATATAAACCTCCCAAATGCCATGAAATGCCGCAGTGCAGAGGGCGCTCTTAACCTGGCAAGGGAAAGAGCTGGTGCCAGGCAGGCCTCAGTGGGAATTGGATCCATAATCCAAGGTGCCACCACTGAGAAGACCTACGCCTTTGTTGCCACCAACCAAGCCTCCCCTGGAGGTAATTCTTGGAGAAAAGCCTCAGGTGCTGACTGCAGTGCCTGGATAGATTTTGGTCTGGAAAGGTGTGCCAACCGCTCTTGTGAAACAAAGCCATTAATTTCTTTCTCTTCCAGGCTGTCTTGTTAACCAACAACCCTGTCAATGTGGAAGCCAGAAATTTTGAAGGTAGGAAGCCAGGAGAGGTCTGTCTTCCCACAGATCTCCTGGGGTGGTGCATGCATGGAGGGCGAAGGGCCATGCGGCGTGTATGGGCCATGCAGCACTGACACCCCACTCCATGCCGTCCCTCCAGGGCTGACTCCCCTGCACTGTGCCGTCATTGCTCACAACACTGCCCTCCAGGCAGAGGGCCTGGAGCCATTGTTCCAGCACCGCCTGCAGAGCTTGCTGCTCTGCATTCGACTGCTCCTGCAGCTCAGAGCTGACTACAAGAGCCAGGTAGGTGGGCAAGCTGTGCTGAGGGCCTCCTTCCCTTCCCCCCAAAGTCCATCAGCCCGTGGATCCTACACAGGGCACCTCGTGGCTGCAGCCTGACATTTCCCCTGCATGCCGCTCACCTTTTCTAGGACCTGAAGAGCAGCAAAACCATCCTGCACTTAGCCGTCCAAGCCGCAAACCTGCCTTTGATCGAGTTTCTCCTCCGGCTGCCTGGACAAGAGCTCCAGAACTTCGTAAATATGAAGGTATGCTTTTAGATCTCCTCCCACAGTGGGGTGCTGCTAGCCAAGGTGGGGCCAGCCAGATTCCTATCTAAATGCGATGTCTGGAGTTGCATCAGGACCAGTGTCAAGGACAGATGCTTGCACAAAGCCCACACAAAAGCAGGGACCACCACACAAGTGCCCTGCCGTCGCTCCCCTCCTGGCCATTGCTGGCCCGCCCGACCCTTGCTCTGCCCAGATAACAGCAGTGGTGGCAGCGGGCTCCTCATGCTTCTTCTCACCCACTTGCCACAGGCGAGAAAAGGGAGGAGGAGCGAGGGCAGCTGGCAGCTCCCCGAGGGCAGGGTGCTCTCAGGCCCACAAAACCGTGGAGCCGGCACTGCGCGTAGGGTGACCTGAGCAGCTGCTGGAGGCTGATCATGGGCGGGCAGCTTCTCCATGCTAAGACCGCTTGTCTTTTGAGCTGCAAGGGAAATGTAAAAAAAAACCTCTGCAGCAGCCTGACATGCAGCCATTTAGCAAAGGAAGGTTTGTGGTGGAGAGGGTGGGGGCGCTGTCTTCGCAACAGAGTGGTAGCAGTGGTTTTCTGCCCAGCTCTATGTCCCCTCTATCTGCAAGAGCTTTAATTTTTAATTTTGTATTATGCGTGGAGCTGGAAGCACTGCTGAAAGGCAGATGGCACCGTTGTACTTTCCCCCACCCCTCTCTTAAAAGGCTGCACAATTGCACAGGCAAAATAGCAGGCTCTGCGTTCTTCCAGATGAAGCTTTGCTTGTACAACGGCTCCCCTTCATTCATGGAATTGTATTGAGGAGGAGGAGGAGGCATTGTCAGGATGCTATCATCAGTTTGCAACCCTTCTCGGTTTTCCCAGTACTTCCTTTCTCCTTTTGCACAAAAAGCAAAAGGGAAACATGAAAGAGGGGAGATGAAATGGCTGCCCCGTGCTAGGAGCGGCCTATCTGGAAGCCCCCGCTCTTTCCAAAACAAGTAAAAAAAGGATGCGGAGAAGGCTTGTGTCTGCTGGTGGCAGTGATGACACGGGTATTATCCAATAGGAGCCCATCAACAGTCCCAGAGCCAGAATGAACACATCTTGGCAAGAACCCTGGAAGCATTTAGTAATTAGCAAGGAAGAGAATTGGGATTCTGCTGGCAACTCTGCCTGGGGATTGCTGGCCAAAACTCAGTTTATCCAGCAACAAGGGAAGGGTTGGGAGGGAGGATATTTGTATTCTTCTGCAACCAGGGACTCTGATATCCTCCAAAAACTAATCTTCTGTGTATAATTACAGTTGCTTATTGTACATGCTCTGGATTTTTTAAACTCATTCAAATGAATCCACATTTTAAGATTTTCCCTAATATGGATGGGGAACATGTGGCCTTTCAGAGATTGCTGGACCACTGTTCCCATCATCCCATGCTTGCTGGACCTGATGGATGTTGCAGTCTAAGCATGTCTGGTGTGCCTCGGAGTCTCCACCCTTGGACTATTACAGGGATATTGAACCGTTTTCAATATTTTGAAAAAGTGCTTGAAGACCCCTTCCCAGGGTTGGCAAGGCTGCGGTTGAATGGGATGGGGCCCCAATCCCTCGGAATTTCAGTATAATTTACCTTAAAGTGATCACTGTTAATAACTGAAGGTACTTCATCTTTTGGAATGGGGTGGGGGTAGAAAAAAGCAGAGAGATTCCCAAAACATGAAAGGCTAGAAGAAAGGAATGGGGTTGGAGAAGAGAGCATGGCCACCAAAGGAAGCCCAGAGGTCCAGTTTGGGACCCCAAGTGAGCAAGCTTTGGCTTCCAGACCTGAGGCTCTGCACTCTCAGTGTATATGTAACCTGGGAAGTAGTTCTTGGCCTTGCCTAGAAGCTAGGCCTGTGCCCCTCCCAAGCCCCCAGGTTTGTAGCACCAGCTCAAGGCTCTAGTAACTACCCACTTTTCTAGTTCGAGGTGCCTTCCACCATCCCTTTTCTTCTAGTCACAGGATCTGCACAGCAGAGGAAAAACTAAGGCGCAGCTGCTGCACTCCGTGACTTCTCTGAAATGATTGTTTCTAGCATGAGGAATGCTAACTTTGTGCAGGAAGAAACCCTGTTTCGCACTCAGAAGGATTTAGCATTGTTCCTCGGCATCTCCGGGTGAAAGGACTGGGTTGCCTGTGACCCCAGAACCTCAGATCTGGCAGCTATTCCCAGTCCTCCTGGCATTTCCAGTTGGCCCCCCCCCCCCAAGGCTCCCAAATGGGCCCACCAAGGCCAGGGCCCCTTCAAATACAAATAGCAACTTTAGAGACACTTTTTTTTTTTTTTTTTGAGCAGATAGCAAAAGAGAGCATCGCATGTCCCAACCCTCAGAGTCTTGAACAGCCTTTCCCAACCTGCAGCCCACTTCAGCTCCTGTCACCCCCTGTTAACAAGGCCAATGGTCAGGAATCCTGGGAGTTAGGAGCCTAAGCATCTAGAGGGTCCCACGTTGGAGATGGCTGGCCCTGAGAGCCACCTCCTGAGAGGCAGGTGAGGTTCCCGCAGGCTGTCCACTTGACCTCTGCATAATGCTGAGCCTCAGCTTGGAAGGAGAAACCAGCTGCTAAGCCAGCCCGCTGCAGACATGCCCATGTGTGCAGCTGCTTCTCCAGGATGCCGTCCTGCAAGACTTGAGGAGAGGTTTTGCCTTACCTTTCGTGTAGCTGACCAGAGAAAATCTCTCTCCACAGGCTCATGGGAATACAGCGTTGCACATGGCAGCCGGGCTGCACGGGCACCCCCATCAGGAGCAGATCGTGCGCCTGCTGCTGCAGCATGGGGCTGACCCCAGTGCCCGGAACCTGGAGAACGAGCAGCCAGTTCACCTGTTGGCTCCGGGGACAGCCACAGAGCAGGTGAGCTGGGGCCCGGGAGGTGGACCGAGGAGGGGCATGGAGTAGCCCTGCAGTTCTGACCAGATGTTGCCTCCCCTCTTCTCTCCAGCTGCGTCTGCTGCTGAGGAGTCGCCGCACTGGTCCTTCCCTGATTCATCATCTGCCTTCCCTGCCCTGACAGCCCTCTTGTGGCAGATGCTCCTGGACCGGGACCAACAGAACCCCTTTTTGGCTGCCCAGAGAGTGAAAACATGTGGATGCCTTCCTTGTTGGTGTTTTCCAGGAAATCCCCGTCTTGGCTGTATTTAACTAACTTATTGTATGGAGGGGGGTGGGGTACTCACCTGGCTGCTTCCTTGCTTGAGCTCCTGAAAATCAACTCCAGGTCGGTGGGGAACACAGGAATGACTGATGTGGAGGTGTCTTTCTCTCTCTCCATCATCAGCCCCTTCAAAGCCCAGCTTGGGAACTAATGCACCAGGGGCTCGGTCTCTGGTATTCTCGGGATGCCCTAGAGTACCATCCCCATGATACGAGGCCGTGGGCTGCAGTTCCTTGGGCCAGCAGAATTAGAGTCCAAAATACCTGGAGGCTGGCTACCAATGAGATGCTCTCTCCCCCACCAGAGAGCAGCATCCGCCTCTCTCTCATCAGCAAGGAAATCACCCAGGAACTGAGCACAAGGGTCTTTCTCCCAGCGCCTTCCCACGCTGGTGCTCAGTGTACTCCTCTTGGCATGCTTTTTCTCTGTGGCAGCTGGCCAGACTCATCCCCTCCCCTCCCCATCCCTCCCTCCACTACATGTATCATTTCTATGAAATGAATTGTGCTTTGAATCATATTGGTTCGTAGAAAATTTGGATCATTTAGCTTGGGACTGGCATCATCAGAGCATTACTCAAGCAAAACAGCCCACACAACGCTCTACGTGTCTACTTGAAAGCAAGGCCTGTTGTGGTCAATGGGACTTACTTCCTTGTAAATGGGTATAGCGTTGCAGCTTGAGTTTCTCTTCAGGCCAGCATTTGCCATCCTGGCATGCTACAGATGTGTTGAATTACACAGCCTGTAATTCTCCACCAGAAGACCTGTTGTCCAGGCCATCTAGGAATCATGGATGTTGTAGTCCAATGTAACTGGAGCACACCAGGTTGACAAAGGCTGCCTTAGCCCACCCCTCTCTTGATCCACCCCTTAAGGGATCCACCCAGATCCTAAGAGGACTCTTGTATCTTTTTTAAAGAACTGCATGAAAGGGGGAACCTCCCACTGGGACTAGTTCCTGGAGAACGTAGGATCCGTTTCTCCAAACCACAGTCAGTGGTCTTCCCTCTTCAATGCAAGTCCAGCCTACAAACCTAGCAGGTTGAATTTGTGTTTCCTCTTCCTTGGAGAATCCTGGGAACTGTTGTTCTGTTTGTGGGATTAAGCATGTCCAGCAGAAGTCTCCACACCTACCCCAAACTACACATCCCAGGATTCTTTGCAGGGAGAGGGATGCTATGCCAGTTAAACTGGTACCACTTTGTAGCCGAGAACGTTGCCCTTTGAGGGAAAAGAAACCTCTCAGGAGACAGATCCAGCAGAGCGCTTTATTCTGCCCCAGATAACCTGAAGCAAATCACACACACAGTTTCAGGGCTGCCTTGCTATGCTCCTGAGAACCCGTCGAGCAAGATGGGTGGCCTTCTAGGGGGCAGGGATGAACCCTGATCAAGTGGGGGGATTTCCCTCCAAGAGAATCCAGCCTGCGTTGCACCTTCTCACAGCATCTGTGCCCAGAAACCTGTAGCCAGCTCCCTGGCTTAATTTGGAGCACCATGTGTCTCCAGAACAGTCTGGCTGAATGCCAGGAAAGCAGTCTCTCCTCCCTTCTTTATGACTGCACTGGCTTCCTTCCACCCAAGGAAGCTATATCCCCACCAAGTGGGAAACCCATTTCCCCTTCCTCTTTCTTCTATCCTCTCTACCCCAACCCACAAGTGCTACCCACTTCTCCAAATTCCTTTTAGAGTCGGCTGGTTTGGCTTTCCTCTTCACCTTCCTCAAGTGGCCAGGCCCAATCAGTCTATTCTGGGGCTTTCTTTAAAGTAAAAAAAAAACATTCGGGAGAATTTGGGCAGGTTCCACTTTTCCTGTCATAAAATATGGCAGGATCTGCTGTCACCTGGCTTCTTCCTTGCAACAACTAGAGATGTCAGAAAAATCCACAATAGATTCAACCGAGTGGGAATTTTGGTGAATCCAACTTGTAGATCCTGCAATGAATGGGACTTTTCCTGTATTCGTGTCAATGCACAGTAGTGTAGGTAGAACAAAAGTTTGGTTTTAAAGAATCCAGTTCCACTCAAGAACAAGTGATGGAATGAAAGACACCTGGGAAGCTGCAAAACACAGGTGGAATTGGTTTACCCAATCTGTACATCCCTCTATCAGCTAGTTCTCATATATGCACTATGTTTTTTAATGTTTTGTTTGCTGCATAGAACATATCTACTATTGTACACTTCGAACTACAGAGAACCAATTAATTAATTAAGTAGGGCCATCTCTCTCTTTCTCCCCTTCCCTCCCCTTGAAATCTGGGAAGTTTTCACAAGCACCCCTCTGTGTTTGGCTTGATGAATCCTCTCAGAGCTTGTGCTAATGGAATATTTGAACAGAAGAAGGACAAGCAGGAGGGGTTTATGATGAACAATATGTTATTGGGACAGAAGTGGACTAATTGTGGCAATAAAGAAGCACACTGTTTAATCGTCTCAGCTGTCTCTGTGTTATGCTGCCCCATCCCCTCCCCAAGCACAGAACTGGTGAGCCAGACACCATGGCTGCATTCACACAACAAGACAAGCAACCTTATGTAGTCACCATGGTTCACTGTTTTTTTACCATGATCTGCCTGACAATCAAGTGGTTTCTACTTCATCATGGTTTCCACCCTCCCAGCTCAATCCTCTCACTGTTGGCATGTGTCTCATCAGCCACAGTGCCTGAAATTCAATCTCAAGTATTGTTACACCCTGCCTATGTTGCCTGCCTCTTCCTCTTTCCAGAGGGTTCTGTGTTAGCTACATACCAGGACAGTGGAAACCATGATCCTGTGTTCAGACAACATGATAAGCCATAGTGGTACTGAGAACCCATAGAACAAACCATATTTCTTATCATGGTTTCCAAAGACCAAAACTGCCATGGTGAAATACCACAACTGGGTTCAGACGACACGACAGACCAACAGTGGTAAAAACCAGCATCACACTTCCCCCCACTGTGCTTCTGGCTGTTCAGCCAACCACACTGAGAACAGGGAATACGAACGCCAGAGAAGAGGCTGAGACACACGATCATGAGTTAATTTATTCCACATGAAACATCCTGGATCAGGGTAACCTACTGTAGCTCTTCTTAGACCAGTTCCCCTTGTTGCTCAAAGGGCAGATCTCTGTCCAGGGGAAGGTAATCCACCACGGAGTCATAGATCTGCATCATTTCTGCATAGCTACCCAGAGATGCTCCGCTCGATTGATAGGCCTGCTAGAAGCAAGGGTTAAGGATGGCGAGTGAGGCTCCTGCTATGTGCATAGCATAGCAGGTGATTAATGAGGACAGAGCCATGAATGGCATGTAGCCAGAGCTGCTGATAGTCTGGGGCCTGTGGGGCACCAACCCCAAAACTCTTGCCCTGAGCTCTTCCACAGAGCCCTGGGCATCCACTGGTGCTGATGGAAAGGTATTTTGCCCAGCTCAATTGCCATGATCAAGGGGGAATGCAGCTGGGTAGGAAAGGGTTAGTTCTTCCCTTTCCACATGCTGTCATGCCTTCCCCACCCCCCAGATCTTCCCATGCATAGCAATTAAGGTTTTGGAATGAAGTGAAAATTCATGGTGAAAATTTTGGGGAAGAATTTAATTGATTGGTTTTGTCTCCTGTGAAATTTAGATCAATCCTAATAATTATTTCTAAATTTCTATGCACAGATCAACATTAGCCTATGCAGATTTTGTACAGGGTTGTGATTCAGGGGCTTGGGCCCCAATAATTATAATTGCTTAGTAAGCCCCTTTGTGTGCCATGAGATGGAACTGTCCAGCACAGGGACAGACTACCTCCAAATTCCAGCTTTTAAGGTCAGGACAACTAGATACTATTGCCTTAGAGGTGCCATCAGGTCAGGACCTTGGGGAAGATGTCCAGCATCCCCAGTTAGTAAAATGAGCATGGGGGACCCTAAAAACAGCAGGACTGGCTGGATTACCCAATATCTTTCAGATGTTCTCAACTGATGCTTCCATCAGTCCTTGCTAGCATGCCCAATGGTCAGAAATCCTGGAAGCTGTTGTATAAAACATCTGGAGGATACCAGGTTGGCCAAACAGCATTTGTGGGGGGCGGGGGGGGGAGGTAAGGCCATTAATTCCATGGTCTAGAATGCCCTAACTGCATTGCCTTTAGCCCTGCATCTGCTTGTCTACTGTTAGCTAATGGTATGAGAAAAGGCAGACCTTGATTCAACTGATCATGGAAATCAGTGAGCTTGTTAGCCATTGCAACTTTTATTCAGAGTGTTATAAGAGGTAACCATGGTGATAAACTCCATCTCCAGCATAGGGTCACTTCCATGGGGCACCATGGATAGCTCTTATAAGGTACATAATAAAAGCTGCAATGGAATATTAGATGGCCAGCTCCATAGAAGAAGCCACAGCCTTAAATTTACAAGAACAAAGCAGGGCTCTCAAAGACAGGACATTTTGAAGAGGGCATCCATTCATGAGGTCACCCTAAGTTGGAGAATCACCAGTTTCCCCTGCACATGGCAGGCAGAAGGCCTCTAAATTGCAGGTGAGACATGAAAATCCTCTACCCAAAACTCTGGATATCAATTGCCAATCAAAATGGACAAGATAGGGCTAGATGGACTAATGGGCTATCCAATGATCAAAGAAAGCTTCCAATCAGAAATTTGAATATATGTTTCTAACTGAGGAAGGGAGTAACAGAATAAAATGCATGTTTCCTGAAGGTGGAGTCCCTCTGCCCTGGTTTGGAGAGGGGGGATCAGAAATTACTAGTTGCTCCCACTCCCACCGGTCAAGCACATCCAAGGTACTCACAGCGTACTCATGAATCCTTGGTGCCTCCTCGGGGTACCAGACTTCATACAGAGGTCCCAGCTCATCGTATCTCCTAGGCATCCTCACTTCCTCATACTCATGGAGCTCCGGGGAGCCAGGCCAGCGGGGTGGAATGCTGGGACCTGTAATGACAAAGGATCTTGTTCCTCAGAGAATCAGGAGCTTGGGTTTGTTGTTAGTCTGGGTCAAGGCACTGTTGCAGCCTTCCCCAACCTTGTCACGTTCGGGAAGGAATGGGAATTGCAGTCCCACACATTGTAGTCCCACCCATCTGCAGAGTTCTGTGGTTTGGGAGTGGAACTAGGTCCCAAGGAGGAAGAATGTGTCAACAGTCACACACCTGCAGCGCTAGCATCTGTTTCACTATCAGCTTGGTGGCCCAGCTGGGTCCAGGTATGGGAAGTGGCCCCAGAACCAGTCGTTGACGTCTTGGCAGAGCTACCCTGTGGACAGAGACACAACCCACCATGTCAGGAGCAAGGCTGAGATCTACTTCCATACACCTGAACCCCTCCCATCACCCCTTCCTTGGCAGCTGGACTATAGTTCCCACCCAACCACTCTTTAGGCAGGAATTTCCATAAATAGGGTCACTGTTAGAACCTGTCAGCACTCTTAAAATTCAAACAATGTGCCCTGGGGGAAAATGTAACCAAGATCAAATTTCTATCCGTCATGATTATAGCACTATTTTGAGAGGTGTGGATGAGTCATTTTCAGCACAAAAGACGATCCGGGAGAGGCTTCTGGTGGGCAGCATAGTCAAGCCCCAGCACAGCTCCTCTCAGAGTCTCAGCTACCCATTCCCCATATTCTTTTCCACTACAGCATACGGTGTGTTCTATTAAAATGCGTGCTAATCTTTCCTGGCTGATGTAATTCATCTCTATTGCAGAAATGGGGATTTACTGATGCAGAATTCCTGAATCCCTTATCTGAATGCAAGCCAAGCATCACTCTTTTTCAAAGGATGTGTCTTTGACCTGAATGTATGTCTCACTTGAGTAGATCCACCTGCCAAGGTTTAAATTGCTTTTAACATCAGGGTTGCATCCCTTGCGAGAAGGAAGAGAAAGTCCAAAATGTGTTGGAAAATAAAGGGGTCATTTCTTGTCCCACCCAGTTGGTTTCGGTTTTCTTGGGCACCGCCTGATCCTGCCATGCTTGCGACTTCCGTCCCAGCACCTGTGCTTCTCTACCTGCAGCTTGCTGGAACAGGCAGAAACCGCTCCCCTGGCATGAGCTATTTCACCATCTGGCCCCAGTTGCTGCTGCTAAAGGGCCCAAAGCACACCTGGCTGGTCCTTTCCTGGCACCTCCCAACCTCCTGCCTGGATGCTATTTATTTCTGTAAGCCGTCCCGAGGCTGTGTAGCAAGGGGACGGCATATAAAAACTTTAAATAAAATAAAATAAATAATAATAAAATAAATAAGTGCTATGCCACTGTTCCCCACAGTCCAGAAGGTGTGCTTACCTCAGAGCTGTGCTCCTCCAGCTTCTCTGGTTGTGCACCAGCTTTCAGCCACTTAAACACGGTATAATTGTTCCCAAATCTCACTTTTGCCCTGAAACAGCAACAGCATTCTTGGGTATCAGGCAGGTCTTTGGGGGCGACCATGGGAATGGGTCCTAGTAGTGAAAGCTACTCCTGCCCATCAAGGAAGGACTGCCAGCCTTTTTTCTAGCTGGGCTCCTGTGCCTTTAAGTGCCCCGTGGCTGGCGGGTGGGCAGATCATTCGGCAAAACACTTTTTCTCCAGCATGGGAAAGCAGTGATATGAAAATTCTCACACTAGACCCATCTCCTCTTATCCCACTGTTGTGAGAACAGGAGGTGTGCCAGAAGAAAAGGTGGAACCTTTTCCTTCAGGCCTCCTGCCCCATGAATACTCACTTTGCTGCTCCTTGAGTTCCTGTAAGAAGAAGGAGAAAACAGAGATCATGCCAGAAACCAGAAGATCCACCTCGTGCTTTACCAGAGCTGGAAGTGCTTGCAGATTGCCAGTCCCTGGTGTGGCAAGGGTGCCTATCGCCAGCTCAGGTTGGGCTGTGGAATGGCCTGGGAGGCACCAACTATGTCATGCTGTCAGTCCCAGTTCAAGACCCATTACTTTACTGAGCCCTTCCCCGAAAGGGAATGCTGCCCAGTCCAGTGGTCAGTAATTGTGTGTTTTAGTGTTTCATTAATATTTCTGTAAATATTTTAACAACAACTATGCATTTTAATTATATCTCAATGCATAGCATTATTTTTGCATGTTATTAATTTTCCTGTAAGCCACTTAGAGATTCTTTTAAATGCACAACAGTATGAAAATCTATTAAATCATTGTCCACATGATTATCATCCAGCAGCCTTGTGGTGCCTGTTCCTGCATAACAAATATTTTGCCAAAAGAAGAAAGACTAAAGTGGTGGGAAAACAGGGAAGGGTCCTAAAAGGAAGCGGGGCATCTCTGCCCCTTGCAATAAAAATCAGTGAATAGGGCAGAGTAATTTTGCAATAAAAACACCCCTTCAGAAGCACCCCGAGTTGGACTCAGATTTAGAGCAGATCCCTTGAAACCAATAGGACCTCGGTTGGCCATGTTCCAACCTCCTGTCTGGAAGGAGGCGTGTGTCCACCTTTCCCTGTGCCCTAGTGGCAGGAGGGGATGCCAATCAAATCACACCCAGGCCCAGCAACCCTTCTGAAGGTCAGGGGTCTGTCCACATGCTTACCTTTGAGACTTTGGGCCCGTCGCCTACAGAAGAAGCATCCCAGAAAGAAGAGGTTGGAAGCTATCAGCAGCCCCCCAAGGGCACCGAGGAGCCCAATGAGAGGAAGTGGCAACACGGGACTCTCTGGGAAATAAATGAAGGGATTAAAAAGAGAGGACACCAAGAAATACGCCTCCTTCCCCATTTTTGTTTTACCATAAACAAGAGAAACATCCAGGGCTCTCTTGCCACTGCTCCTCTGAGTTTCAGCATTGCATAGCACTTGGTATGCCTGTGACTCTGCCCACAGTCCTCTCTGCACATGGGAAGGGAATGGCTTTGCAGCAGACACGGTGGAGTGCCGGCACGTTAATGAGGGGAAGGAGAAGAAGAAGAAAGGAGAGGAAAGGAGGGAGAGAAAGCAACGAAGGAGAAGAAAAAGCAATCGGAGCAAATGCACTATTCACGGCAGGAGAGGAGTCGTCGTACGCAACCATTCCAGACAGCACACAGTCTGGGGGCCACAGGCAGCCTCCCCAATTCTGCACTGAATTTTCCACCCAAATTCAGTGGCACGGCAGCAGAAATAAACTGGAAACTTTAAAATAAGATAAGCAAAATTCTATGAGGAAGACAACACTGAATTTCAGCAGCAAATGCAGCAGAGGCATCGGGGGACAAGAGGGCAGACCCTGGTGCGATCTGGGCGGGGACGGGAGTCATGTTCTCCAAATCCTGAGAGCCCCCCACCCAAGCACAGGCTTGAAAGACTTGGGTAGCCAAGCTTAATGGGTGTAGCACGTGGTAAGGATGAGTGGAAGGTGGCATCCCTGTTGCTTAATTAATTGCTAACTGAATCGAAGCATCAAAGCTGAATCGAACTGAATCGAAGGCCTGCCCGGGCTGGCCTGGTTTGCTCTGTGCCTTTTCAGAGAACAGCCTGCAGAACTGGCACCAGAACCTTTTCAGGGGATGGAGAAGCACATTCTCAGTGCCTGCCATCTGCAGATCAAACTACCGTCTGGGGGTGCAGGAGCAGAGAATGATCTTCCACGGCCTCTTTCCTCACCGTGGTCCCAATAACAACAGATATGCCCTCTGTGGAAAGCATCTCATTTCCTCAGATACAAAATATCGTTGAAGGGCTGGAAAATTCAGTATCTCTGAAGCGGGCTCAGAATCTCGATTGTGTGTATGGACTGGGCACATGAAATGGGAAGCACTGCACATGAGGGTGCAGCTGACTAATTGCACAGAAAAGCATCCAGAAGCAGAGCTGTCTGTAATCTGCACATCGAAAACAAGACTCACGTCTAAATATTGCATCAAAAGAGTGACACCTTCATTTTTTTAAAAAAGAGGAAGAAAACAGATGTGAGGAAAATATGCAAATTGTGCCTTTGCAAATGTATTAATTTTCTATCCTGCCACTCCTGCTAAACACTGAGGTGAGTACAGAGCCCTGTGGCATACTAATGCCTCCACTCCTAAACCCCTGATCACCTTGCTCGGTCTCCCTGTGAATTCTGAAATGCTAAAGGGCATCACCCATGTACCACGAGCTTCTCCTTCACAAACATATGGCCTAGAAGCTTGGACATTTTAAAAGGAAAAGCAGTAAATCTCAGAATTTTTAATTCTGCAGCAAATCCAAAAAGCCTGACATGAACGATTCAGCAAGAAATAATAAGAACACACCCAGCCCTGCTTGCAATGGATGCGCAAGACGAGGGAGGGAAGGGGGGAGGGAAAGATGTCAGGGACTGGTTCTTCCTGGTAATAATGCTTATGTGCTATGAATAGTTCTTCTAATCATTATACCTGATTCAGGTATTGATGTAGTCTTGGGCTCTCCATCAACTGCAGTTTCCTTTCTCTCTGGAAGGGAATGTATTGCATCATGACTGGGTCGGATTCAAATTCTGCCTACATCAGACAAAAGATAACTTGCCTAATAAAGGGATGATGTAAAAGTTGATCATGCTTATTGGTATGACCTTGTAGGGTAGTCAGAAAAAGTAAGCAGGACTCCATGACTTCACTTAAAGGGCATGTGACCCATGGGCATTTGCCCTCTTCAGTGGCTTGAGCAATGCAGTTCATTTCACTAACCTTTTCTTGAAACTATACTATGATTCTGCTCTACAGCCTGGTTGGAAGATCTCCAGATGTTTTGGGTCTTCAACTCCCAGAAGCCTCTGCAAGCATGGCTAATAATCAGCAATGCTGGAGTTGAAATTTCAAACATCTGGCTATGTACTTTCCATCTTCCCCTATCTACAGTGCATTTCCCATAATAGTTCACCCAGGCTGGATTCCCTGGATGGATTTTTTTAGTTTTTTATTCTCACTACATGTTTATCTCTCCTTTCTTCCAAGGAACTCAGGGGTGGCATTCATTTTTAAAATTATATTAACTTTATATCCCACCTTTCCTCTTCAAGAAACTCATGGTGGCTTACATAATCCCCCGCCATAATCTCCACCAAGTTTTTCCCCGCACTGATTATACCTACAATAAGCCAATGAGGTAGGCTAAGCTAGGCTGAGAAAGAAACTGACCCAAGGGCAGTTTCTGGCCGAGTAGAGATGTGAATCTAGAGCTCTCTGGTGAAAGTGCAGTGCCCTAGCCACTACACCTCACTGCCTCTTGCTTCTTGGCATACAGCCATGTCATCTTGCCTGCATCTCCACCCAGAAAGATGCTGCTTACCTTCAGTGGTAACGCTGAGCCCCACACCTCCATCCGCAAAGTCGCTTTCACCAAGCCCGTTCCGAGCATTGACGGAGACATTATAGAGAGTGTTTGGATACAGGCCAGTGAGGGTGAAAGCGGTTGACTGTGGTGGGAAGACATCCACATACAGAAAGCTGGGCGCCCCTGGCCAGTGATACCTGGGGAGCAGTGAGGGGAAGGATGTGCTGGTGAGAAGAGATGTTCAAGGTCTTCCACGCTTGCCATCCAGCTACTGTCAACACCATCAAAAGGTCGAGGTGCTCAGTTCTTCCTCTCTTCATGGGACACTCAGGTAAGCTGTTCTACATTTTGGGCAGAGGTAAGAGGTACCTCCCAGAAGGAGAGCCAGAACACTCTGCCGCGGAGCAAGCAGCCAGGAGTCTCGTGGCATGTGGCAGGATCTGTTGTGGACTCAACCCACCCCATCGGTCGCCTGGAAGGTTATCCTAAACTGGCAAGGTTATCCATGATACATGCACAAAGGTACGGAGCCAGGAGCCAAGGGTGGTATCTCTATGCAGCGGTTCTCCATCGCAGACGCTAATGGGGAGAAAGGGGCAGTGGAACCATACTGCTGGGGCTTCGCATGGAAGCAAGTGCCGGTGGTTTCCCACCCATCCACTTCCTGGGTTGGCACAGACATGCAAATGAAGGGTCCCATGCCAGGCATAGCATCATGGAGGGGCTGAGCATCTCAGTCTCACTGCCCCCTCCTCTGCATAGCAATGAAGCTACGTGTAGAAATCAACCGAACGAACGGGGCTGTTGGCAGTGACCTTTTGCTGCAATGCTGAATCGTATGCATGGAAACCAGAGGCACCATTCACATCAGCAGCAAGCAGCGATACAGAGACCGTAGCCAAAGGAAGTCATTCTAGGCGAATCAACAGGCATTGTCTTATTGACACATTTTATCTCTGTAATAGGGGAGGGAAACCTCTGGTCAACAGACCTAATCTGGCCACAGAGCCTTCCTGGATTAGCTCTATCCTCTGGAGAAATTCCCACAGTTCTCCCAGATAATTTGGAGAGGATATTCTTCCATTGTGGCTTATGACTAATAATAAACAATTCTGACATCCCTCTGTCTAGATCCTTCTTTTTCTGACCCTTATTCTAATAAGTTCCTCCTGCCCAGCTGACTTCCCTAACTGTGTCTGTGTCCACCACATCCAGTTTCTCAGGGCAAGGGTATTACACAACCATTTTGATTTATACTCCTTTGCCTCACAACTTACCCACAAGGGAGTCTTGGGAGCCATCTTCTGCTGAGAGGACCAAGGGATATTCTCACTAAACAAATGCTCATAGATCCCAACAGTTGAGCCAGCTCCCAATTTGTCTAGCAAGTGCAGCGTTGGTCTAATGACCACCATACCTGACACGAAAGCTTTGCTGAAGCCCTCCATCAAAGCCTGGGGTCCATTCCAAAGCCAGCCAGTTGTGGGAAACATCAACAACTTTTAGCCCTGTTGGTGAGTCAGGGCGGCCTGGTGAAAAAGAGTGGCATGAAAAACTGATCAAGGAGTTAAAATAGGATGGTAACCCTTTTCCCCCAAACTCAATGGATGAACATCCAACTAGAACCTCTCAGGACCTATTGGTCCGTTAGCCCTTACTAGTGCTAAGTAGCTGGATGTCAAGGGTATCCACGCCTAGTTCGTTTCTGGCTGTGCAGGTGAAGGTGGCATAGTCAAGAACTGCGCTCACATTGGCAATGGTTAAGGTGCTCGTATGCAAGGAGCCCTCATGGTCTGTAGCCACAGTATGCCTGGGAGAAGGTCATAACAGAAAAAGAGGTCAGAAAAGGCATGCAGCTGAAATGAGCAAATCCTTCGATAATTTCCAGGTGCATGCTCCAAGATGCATCCAGCCCCAAATGACGCCTGCACTTTCCCCATCCACACCTGAAGCTACAGCAAGTTACAAGACAAGCAATCAGTGCAACCCAGTGCAATGAAACCAATCAGAGCCACTCCGAAACAGGGGGAGGTTGCAGCTTCGAGCAGGACTGGAAAGAGATTCCCGGCAAGCTTCAAAGAACAGTGAACCCAACCTTTGCCAACCCAATGCTCTTCAGATGGGATGGCCTGCAACTTCCATCATTCCCAGCTGGGAATTCCCAGATATTACCATCACCATAATGGGGAGGATACTGCTGATGTGGGTATAAAATCCCACATGCCACAGATCACAGCTGCAGAGCCTCAGGCCCCGGCCACTTTACCCCAGCAGGGGGCCAAATCCAGTCTTCCGGGATTTGCCAGATAATCACATCCTTCCCTGGCCTCCTTCCATTTCCTCCAACTACCAATAGTTTGGTTGTTTCCTGCCTTAGCATTGATTTTTTTCACCCTTTGAAAATGTTGAAAGGCCTCTCCAAAGACTTAGTCCCTGGCAGTAAGGAGTTAAAGCTAAAATAGCCTGAAACTTTGACCGCACCTTCAGTCCTGTCCAACAAGGATATGAGAGCTGACTATGAAATGGAATTTGCCTCTTCGATTCACGCACCCCTGCCAGATAACCATCTCTTCTGAGCAGAACATTCACCTGGAGTTTGGGAGGTCAAGGGAGACACCACTCTTGGCCCAGCTGAAGAACACCATAGGAACCCCTTGAGCGCTACACTGGAGTGTGGCTTGGCTTCTCCCATCTCCTGAGGCTGCCACTTTCCGTTCTCCAGGACCCTTGATGATCTCTGGTGCGTCTAGAAATGGAGAAACAGGTTTAAAAAAAAAAAAAAACTGATAACATGGAAATATTTACTGCTTTCATGTAAGCATGTGCTTTTTCCACTAAAAATTCAGAAGTGATTCAGAACCCTGGTATTGCATTGTTCTTAAGTTTCAGCAAATTATCAAACCAAGCCAGCAGCAACAATGACCCCCTTGCTTCAACATGGCTCTCAAAGGGCTTGCCCTCATACTCAGGAGAGACCCAGCCTTCAGATCTGGGGAAAGTTCAAGACACTCCACTGTTCAGAGTAGATGCTGTGTCCATTTGCTATCTATCCCATTGTACAGGTGAAAGATCATATATGATCACATATGATGTGTAATCTGTGAGCACGAGGGTCAGTGCCTTCATAGTATTGACCCCTAAGCGCTGGAACTCCCACCCCCATCTCATTCTTGGGAAACACTGCAAAAACCATTTGGTTTAGATACGCCTTTGATGGCATCTGATCACTAGAGAATATTTATTATTTCACTGGTCTTGGTAAAGTAAATATTTGTTCTAGATTGATTGTACTGTTTACTGTTCAGTGCAAAATGTGGGCATACAAAGTGGGGAGGGTATAGGGAGATGGAAAAATTAAAAAATGGAGGGAGTCCATTATTGGGGCTGTAAGAGAGGGGCTGATTATGGCAGGGAAGCAATGGATCTTTGTGGTATATCTGTTGGGGCTGAGAAAGTACCATTAGGCTTTTAGCAGGAAACTTACATCGCACAATCAAGCGGGCACTGCTTCTGGCCGCTGGGGAGATGCCATTGTCTACCTGGCATTCGTACAGACCAGCATGAGCTCGTTGTGCCTCCTGGACATGCAGTCGTCCCACAAGCCCTTCTGAGCGCAGCTCGATGCCGAGCTCCTCCAAGTTCTGCTCCAAGTCACCCTGTGTAAGATGCACAGATAAGAGGCCTTAGCAAGGCCAGAGCATCTAGTGAGTGGAGTGGAGCCTCTCTCAGTGGGAAGGACAAGTGTCCTTCAGTGCTCCTATCCACTAAAGATGGCCAAACACAAATGTTACATTTCCATTAACAAAGATGAGATGGAAGGTGGGAATGGATGAACCATACGTTTCTTCTGTCCCATTTCTGCATCACCGCACCATTTTTAATGCACATAAAAATGTCAATTTAAATGCCCATTTCTAAGCATATCTTCTCCCAAGATACCCATTTCTAAATGTCTTATCTCCCAAAATAGGTACTGCAACATGCATGAGCCAAGAAGTGTGTTGGGACAATTGGGCAGGGTATGGATAACTGGGAGTTGTGGATCAAGTCAGTTCGTATCCAGATTGGGAAAGGTTAAACTCCTCAAGCATCTCCAATGGAGGGCCAGGAGAGAACTGGAGGAAGTAACTCTACAACCCATCATGAATGTGTTCCCAGTGTGTTTCCAGAACTGCCAGCATCCAAGGCAGATTCCTACCAGGCTTTGCCATCGCCGCATGGATCAAGATAGAGCCAACCATGATTAGCTATTTGTGGTTTCATACTCCTCCAGTCTTCTGGTCTGAAGACATTTGAGGAGCAAGCTTGTAGTGGTTCAGTTCCCTTGTGAAGTAGACTTATTGGAGGCTTGTGCCATTTTTTGCTATGTCTGCTTATTTACACCAAGGGCAGGGAACCTCTGGTCCATGAGCTAAACATGGTCTCCTGGGGCCTCTCCATCTGACCCACGGGATTCTCAACAGGATGCATCCCTCAGGCCCCAGTCCACCCCTTATCAAGTGTCCTACTGTGGTCCCAGTCCATGCGTTGTGCCATCCAAATTTCTATGCCGCTCTTACCAACTCAGCTGCCCTAATGCCCTGCATCTCTCCATCGAAAATGCAGCTGCATGTCTAGTGCTCAGAACGGCTCGTTCATTTGCAGAACTGCTCCCACCTTCCCCCTCCCACTGAGCTGCTGCCAGCCTTATCAGAGCAGTCCTACAAGCACTTGTTCCCGCATCCCACTTCTGCTGAGCCAGTCTGGATAAAGCCCTGGGCTGGGTGTGGATGCGCGATGAGTGTGAGCACCATGCATATATGCAGCTTGGCCCTGCCCACTGCTGGCCTGTGGCCCCCCAAGTGTCCCCCCAACCCTGACCTACATTGAGTGCAGAGGAACAAAGGATGAGCCATCCAGATATGGCCCGTTATGTCCCTGCCTAATTGCAGAGGTCTTCCTTGGAGGCTCTTCTCTAGTGGTGTGATGGCGGCTACCAAGGAAACAGCCTTCTCTGTAGTGGTCCCCTGTCTATAGAACACCCTTTCCAGGGAGAATCACCTGATATCTTCACTATATACATTTGGTCAGGTTACGACAGCCCTGTATAAGAAAACATTTAACCTTTAATGTGTTGCTGTATTAATGCTTCTGTGGCTTGTTTTAAATGTTGCAGTGTTTAATATTATACCATTTCGATAATTCTGTGTTTGTATTACTTTATTTACATTTTAATTATGGTAATTTTGTTGCTCCTGCTTGATTTTTATTATTTTTAGACTGCCCTGGGGGCATTTGTCAATTGGGTGGTATACAATCTAATCTCATCTAATCTATCAATACTCCTGCTAGCAAATTTTTAAAACCCTCAACTTTCTGTTTCCGATCCTCTCACTAGCTATGCTCAAATTCTTCATTTTTTTCTCCAGCTCACCCAAGCATTCAAGGTGTATCCAGTAGCCTGGGGCTCAGAGTCATAAAAAGCCATTAAGATGAACATGTTCTAGCTGCCAGGACCCATTAAAGACACTATTTGGGCTGTTAAGCTATAGAAGACTTGAAGAAAAGATCGTATCACTTTACATGGCCACATCCATTTAATTAAGAAAGGGCACAGATCTCGGGCAGAGCGAAGGTGTAAGAAACTGACTGCACGACTACAGCAAATGTCATTTTCTCGCTACCCCGCAGTTCTGCTGATCTGCAGCCTTCCCCTGTTGCCAGCCTCATCTCTCCTTCCAGACTAGTCCCCCGACCTTACCAGCCACCGCCACTGGAACATGCTCTCCGGGGCAGGGTTGGCATCGGCCTGACATACAATCTCTGCAGTGCCTCCCAGGTCCACGTAGGTTGGGTCTCCGATGCTGCGGATGGATGGAGAATCTGTTTGTGGAAAAAGCATGCATTGCCCAGTACATAGGAAATGTGACACGGCAGAGTAACTCCAGGGAGAGAGATGCTGACGCAACTCCCATCCCCAAAGAGAGGATAGGATGCTACGAATCCAGGTTTCCCCAACCTACACCATGCTGGGTATAGAGGGTGATGGATGGTGGCAACTGGAGGGCGCCAGGTTGGCAAAGCAGTTCTGAACACAGACTAACAAAAAGCAGAGGCAGAGCAGGGCTGAGGTCGCCAGCACAGCATCTGTGGGTGCCATGTGCCCACAAGCACCTCCAATGGCTTCCACACAGTTCTTCATACACCACCCACTTCAAAAATACACAGGTTAACACACAACTGAAGAACATTAAGGCACCAGGTTGTCCTTCTTATTCCTCAACCTGTTCCGTGGGCAGGAAGAAGAAGCAAAAGAGCGGAGTGGGGGAGAGAGCAAGGCCAGCAGGTAGGAAGGGAGAAAAAGAGGGCAGCTTGGAGCAGGAAAAGGAAAAGTAGTGAAGAAACGGGTTGGAGGACCACAGTGGCAACTCTACAGGGCGGGCGTACAAGGGGAGAGAAAGAGCAAGAGCTGTGTGGAGGCAAGTTTGGGTGAGCCAGGAAGAAATTCTTTTCCTATCCCCTCCCCTGCCACTCTCTATTAACAAGACCCTCACAACTTCCTCAAATCCCCAAATGTGCCCATGGGTGCAAAAATGTGGGGGAGCCCTGGAGGAAAGTGTTATGGAGGAGAGAGTTATGGAGGAGAGAGACAGAGAGCCTCTTTCCCCAGCCTCGCATTCTCCAGGAATTTTGCACTGCAGCTCTTGTGAGCCCTGGCCAGCTGCTCTAGTGGCTACAGCTGGTGAAGCTGTAGCCCAAAACATCTGGAGGGGACCAGGAGGGGGAAGGCGGGGATAGGCTGAACCTCTCCTCTGCTGGGCCACTGTGAAATTTTGAGCAAGGCAACTTTCACATACGCAGCGGGCAGCTGCTATGTTGCACTACTGCTCCCATCTTCCCCAGCCAACGTCTCAGCTGGAGGATGCTCAGCACTTCCAGGAGGTACCAAACAGGGGAAAGCTGCGTACTGCCTTCTCCATCTGATACTCACACTGAACGTCCAGCAAGATGGTCGTCTCATTGTACCCTTCTGGGTTCTCACAGTGGATCTTATACAAGCCAGTGTCAGCCCGGGTCACGTTCCAGATCTCCAGGGAACCGCCATCTCGCAGGTGGTACCGTGGGGAACCCTCTGCAGCATACAGAGGCAAGAAAGCCCTAAGTTCAATATGGTAAACAGGCAAAGGCTGGGAATGGGTGAGAAAAGGGGGCAGAGAGGGCTAGAGGCCCATCTAGCCATGACTGGTGGTGATCACTGCTCCAAGGCATATTGGCCAGAGAGGTGCTTTGCTTCACTGTCCCACCAGGACGGGATTCTCCTCCACACTCCCACCAGGGCTTGAGAAGGCTCTGGCCAACTTCTTTCCAGTCAGCAAGCCAGCAGCTCCTGTTCTCACCCACTGAGTGAAGCCCCTTTCTGAGGGTCCCTCAGCTCCCTGAGACACTGGAGTGTGGGGGGGGCGGGGCCAACAACATTCCTGCTGGCTGCCTCTGTCACTTCTGAAGCCCCATATGGTCTTGCCCTCCCTGCTTCTCCTTCTTCCTTCACATCTGGATACTTCCTTGGCTCTTCCTGTTCTACCACACTTGCCTCCCACTCCTTAAAAAAGCCTCTGCCCTTTCTCCCTTGCTGCCCCTGATTTCTGGAAAATCATAGCTCAGTGGCACATCCTGCAAGCAGGAGGCTCCAGTTCATTCCATGGCTTCTCCAGGTAAGCTTAGGAAAGAATCCTACCTGAAACCCCAAAGAGCAGCTGCCAGTCAGTGCAGACAATACTGGGTGCAATGAGCCAAGGGTCTGACTCCGTACAAGGCAGCCCCCGGTATTCTTAAGTTCCTAGCTCCCTTTAAACACCTTACATGATGCCACTTGTCCTTCAACTCCCTGAGAAACCACTCACACAACCCTTTCTTCCTCATCCCCTACTGAAGCTAAGCTTTTGGTGCAACAGAACTGAATGCATAGTCATCCCTCTTCATTATTACTTTCATCTTCTCCTCCCTCTGTCGCCTCCAACTGACCTTGAGGAGGCAAACCAGATTCCATGCACCTTTGCACTGAACATGTGCATTGCAAATGCCAGCTGCCAGAGGGCCAGTTAGGGAAACGGGCTAATGATGATTAAAACCGCAGCAAGTGCAGGTTAACTTTTCCTTCCCCTGATGCAGTCCTGAAGGAAACAATAGCTCTTTGACGCTACTGTTTAGACCAAGAGAAAACCCTCCACCAGATATCAACGGGTGATGCCAAACCAGTGCAGTTAGCAGTTTCAGAGGATGGATTGTCCTCAGGGGAGGGAGGAAAGAGCAAACTCCCCCTTCACCACTGCATCAACCCTGATCACCCCACACACACGCGCGCGCGTGCACAAATGCACACAGATGCCATTTTCATAAGTGTATGTTGAATGAAAGGATGTGTTCAACCTGTCCAGTTTTGGCCCTTGGACTTAGGTTTTGTTCACTTGCTTGTTTTGGTTGCTCGGTAAAAACGGATGAAAGTCAGTAGACATTTGTTTACCCTCTTCCCTATTTTGCTTTCTCTCCATCAACCCACACACTGCTCCAGCTCTTGGAAGCTCAGTGCATGAGTGTTGCATTTGGTAGGACCCACCTGTCAAGAGCACCTCACCAAGGAAGATCCAGCGACAGGTGATCTCAGGTGGGCTGGCCGAGACCAGCAGGGGCAACAGAACAGCTTCATGCTCCACAGTTTGCACGACAAGAGGCTGCTCACAGGAGAATTCCGGAGGAACTGTGTAAGCAAAGGAATCAGAGCTCTCAGGATCACGTGCTCTTCCCTGAGCTCCATCCTGCTCCTTGCAGCCCACCCGTATGCATGCACAGTATGCCTTGCCTAGTATGCATGCACAGAAGGTTGTTGCTGAGGCATCTCAAAGACCCACCGTGGCAAGTGGGGAGAGTAGCCTCACATAAATCTTGCCTGCCCTGGCTGGGAACAGTGCCTTCCCTCTGCCAGTGCTTCCAGCTAGCCAGGATCCCAAAGCAGTCATGATGTGACAAGACGCACCCTCCAAATAAAGCAAGTTGGCGAGTGCTGAGGGCAGTTGCTCACATTCCCAGCTGGGTCCAAAGGGGTTTGGGATCCTTGCAATCAAACTCCCACATCCAGAGGGACCAACCGTGGAGGAACAGCTGCTTGGATGACCTGATCCTGTGCTTCCCAAAAACCTCTGGGGAGAGATATGGGGACCAGGATGCTGGCATGATTCTGAAGGATTCTTTTCTTACTCACAGAGGACAGTGAGCTGGTAGAAGCTATTCACACCTTCAGAGAGGATGGGGCTGTACGCATGGCATTCCACCCTCTTCCCATGATCTGCAGAGGACACCACCAGAGTTACCCTTCCCGAGATAGAGAAGCCTCCATACTCTGCTTTCTTCTGCCCTAGATTGGTGGCATTCAGCCTGAAAAAGAAGCATCAGCAACACAAAAGACAACAGCAACACTTGGCATTTATGCATCACAGGGGTGTGGAGCTTGTGGCCCTCCAGATGCTTCTGGACTTCAAACACCATCATCCCTGACCATGAACTATACTCTCTGATGGGAACTGGGGTCCCACAACATCTGGAGGACCAAGGACCATGACCTGTTGCAGAACTTGGGCATTGTCAAAGCCCTTCACATACATTTCCCATAGTAATCATCATACTCAGAGCAGCCTTCCCCAAGCTGGTGTCCTTCAGACAGCTTGGACTTCAACTTCCATCAGCCCCAGTCTGTATGGTCAATAGCCAATAATGCTGCGGACTGGAATCCAAAACTTCTGGAGACTACCAACTTGAGGATTGCTACAAGATGGGCAAGACCCCGGTTCATACTCGCTTTCAGCCATGAATCTCACCAGTGGTCCCTGGGCAGCTCATTCGCTCCCTCCACCCAGCCTGCCTCATAAAGGTGTTGGGAGGATCAAATATAAGGGGGAGAACCATCTATGCCTGCTTGGAGGAAAGGCAGGGTGTCTCCGCAGCATCCCTCCAATGGTAGAATTATCTCCCCATTGGGGCCTGCCTGGTACCCACTTGACCATCCTTTCCCACCAGTTAAGACGGTCCTCAGTGCCTGAGAAATTTAAAGATATTTCAGGTTTATTTACCGGCATGATCAGGACACCTATTTCGAATGTCCTAAGAGATCCACCCAGTCTATGGCTAAATTGTTCACAACATTGTGAACTGCTTTTCAATGTTGTAGCATGGAAAATATTTGTGGTTGTTTTTAGCAACCCCTTGTGCTTAGGAACTCCTGTAAATCACCCAGAGAGTTTCAGCTATTGGACAATATAGAAATAAATAAAATATATTGATGTATTGCCACATGACATTCCCTGATGCAAATGTAACACACTGAAGCCAAGCCGGTGGTTTATTTAAGTCCGCCTAAGAAAGGTGGTGGTGAATCTGAGAGTTCCTGGGTGGGAGCTTCATCCTTTTGCTGCTGCACTACTTTAGCTCTCAAGCAGAAGGAAAGGAAGATGGACTAAAGAAACGCAACTAAGAAATGAGATCCAGTGTGATTTGGGATTAGTGTGTTGGAACAGGAGTAGGGAGACCCGGTGCTGCCCCTGCTCGGCTGTGAATCTCACTGGGTGATGATGTGCCAGTCACTGTCAGCCTAATGTATCCCACAGGATAAAACCAAGAGGAGGGGGATCACGTACGTTGCTTTGAGAACCTTGGGGGAAAGGAAGGACATGGATATAGCCACCCCTCTATTTCCACTGCTGAGGTTGTGGGTGTCGTCACTTATGCAGCAAAGCGGTGCACCTCTGCAGGGGAGAACAACAATCCCAGCTTGTCTGCGACACTACAAAAATATTTAGGGAGAAAACTAACTACAGAGGACAGAACTTGCGCAGTGGCCGCTAATGCCTGCCGATCGTTCCTGGGCAAAAATGGAAAATGGGGAAAGCAGGAGGCAGGAATGCCAAGGGGGGAGCACAACCCACTGCAACATTTTATCATAGGGCCACTTGTAAATTATAACGCCAGGGGAACAAAGTACTCCTGCACAAAGCAAAGTGCAGAATCCATTCGCTGTGATGGGCCCTACATTAGATGTGTTTGGAAGAAGGATTGAAGGAACTCAAGAAGGATATGAATATCCATTAGCTATAATAGGTAAATGGAACCTCCCCATTCCGAGGCAATATTCCTCTGAATACCCTATATAGCTAATGAGCAACAGTGGGGAAATTTATTCATGCTCTCAATGGATGGCTGTTGTCAGAAACAGGATACTGGACTAGATGAAGCTTTGATCTGCTGCCACCACGCCGTTCTTATGTTATTATGAACACCCACCACTGGGGAAATCCGTGGCCTGTGGGGTCAGGACTGAGGGACATTGATGGTGATTTACAGTGACAACTGGGAACAAGATGGTTTTGCAATGTTTTCATAGTTGCTTATTTGTAGCAAGCAGGTTTCTGAAAGAAAAAAATGATCATGACATTCTGGGCAGGTGCATGTCCAACAACCAGAAAAGGGGATCAAAACACAGCTGCAAAGAAGCCAAAAATCTAACAGAAAGAGACAACTGCATCCATGCACTATTTCCTAAACTCCTTAGTGAGAGTCAGAAGTGAGATAGTTTCAAGGAGTCATGCGGATGTTTTAGGAGAAACGAAACATTTCCTTGGATAAAGAGATTTTCTCCAGATGCTTCAGAGGCAGCATTTGGATAGAACTGCCCCATTTTTTCTCAGAGATGCATGTCCTCAGACACCGGGGGGGCACCGAGCCCCTTTCAACCCAAATGAAAAATTCCATTTCTAGGAAGTGCTCAGCTGGAGTGGGGGCACACTCTAATAGCAGGAAGGACTGAAGTCAAAAGATGGTGGGGCCAGAAATGCCGGAACTCCCAGCCTATCTTCGCTTAGATTTCTTGTGGCATGTCATTAGGCCTTAAAAGAGGTATTCCAACCTTTTTGGAATGGTGAGAAAACTGCTCAAGAGCTGGAGACCCCTGAAATCTCTGGCATTTTGGGGAAAGGGGTGGGGCCCAGGGAGGGTGTGTGGCTAGAGAACTGCAGCGGGTCCAATCTGGTGCAGGGGAGTGTACGGTTGCACCACACAGGTAGGGGAGTCACACAGGAGTGGCTGGCTTGTTTGCATCTAATTCACTTGTGGCCAGGGGATTATGGTCCACCAGATCCTAACGGGTTCAGCAAGAATGCCTCCCAGTCCTCTCCCAGTGGACTGGCATAGCCTGGCTGAGGGGGGAAGGGTCACCTTTCAGATTTTCTGCCTTGGGTACCAAAAAGTATTGGGCTGGCCCCAGCAGAACTGGGCAAGGGCCTGTGAAGACGGACCAAGAACCCCGAATGAAGTAAATGAACCTGGCTGCAGAGAACTGGCTCTGGGAGACACTCGTGCCGCTGCTCACCTTTTCCCATCTTTGAGCCACGTGAGACTAGCAGGAGGATGGCTACTGCCCGATTTACAGGTCAGAGTCACTGTCTGGCCACGTCTTGGTTCCTTGTCCTCCGTCGTAATCGTCACATGCAGGGGTGGGACTACGGAAAGAAAGGGCAGTAAGAAATCAGCAGACCACCCGGTTCAAAATTCATGGCTGCCTCCCAGCTCCCATCATTCTGTACAGCAAACCTTAACCTCCAGGGGTTAAGACCACATCCTCCTTTGATTTGGCCCTTCCTCTGATAGGGCAGGGTCCAAATCCTGGCCCATGCTGTGTACATTTTACACACCTACATTCTTCTATAGAACTGTCCTTGGAGGGCTGCACCAAGTGCTTTTTCTCAATTTGTGGACTAGCAGTCATTCCCCAACAACTTAAGAACATGCATTATTTCCAGGAAATGATAAAGTGTGTGTGTTTGATTTATACTTACTTTAAGGAAAATGCTAATAACTGTTTTATTTCTGGAAGAACCAGATGAAATTTAGAGGGACAGTTGTCCTTTCTGAGTGAATCAAACACGCTAAGCTTCAGATGAATGAGAGAAGGGAGTATTGTGAAATAAAAGTGTTTACAGTTAGGGGCTTTCTAAAAATAGGGGGAAATGATACACACACCATTCTTAATTTATAATCACTCATCACCCATCTCAGACACACCCTGCATTCACATTGGGGCTGGAGGGAGGGAGGGAGGGAGGAAAGAAGGTCTACATCATCCCGGAGTGTTGACCTTACACTGGACGCGCAGAAAGGTGTACGCGGTGATTGGCGTGGTCCTGGAAGGGCCCGTGGCATTGCAGCGGTAGATGGCCAAGTTGTCGCTGGGCGAAGTGGTCAAGATCAGCTCCTTGGAAACAATATTCCCTGCCGACCCTGAAGACGTTCCATCCCTTACTGCCTTGGTCTCCTGCAGAAGTAACCCAGGTGGCAGTGAAGACAGAGGAAAGGTAGGGACGTGCCTTAGCTCTCCTAGGCTGGCCCTGAACGGGTCTGGGCAGCAAACCAGCGCAGAGGATGGAGGCAGAGCAACCGGCTGCACAGCGAGGGCGATGAGAGGCCGCGCAACCAGGCCCCCCACAGTTTAGGCAGGGCTAACGCCTATTTGGGGGAGTAGAGAGCTTAGAATCCCCGTTATCAAGTCAAGAGAACTGGGGCACCAACCCCGTTCGTTCGTTTGCTTTTCCCCAGAGAAGGGCAGGCAGTTTGAAAGAGAGATCACTGCTTTCCCTGTGAGAAAATGCGGAGTCCTCTGTGTTTGCATCATTTCAAATGCATGCAAACCTCATTTGACCACAAGCAGAAATGGGAGGGCTTTTTTTAATGTGTGCAAATACCATAGGAAATAATCAGAGGTTCCTTATAAGGCATGCAGGGAACTTCCTTCTTGGCAGTCAGCCAGAGGGCAAAGCAGCACCTTCAATCCCATTCTCTTCCTCCCTTTCCTTGCCCCAGTAGCCACTTCCACCCCTCACTCACTTGCCTGCCCGTGCAGGGCTTCAGAAGTCCACTCTGTCCTGGAGGCAGCTTCCGCTGCACAAGTACTCCTGTGTCTCCTCCCACCTGTGTGCATGTTGTCTGCAGAAAAAAGAATTTTTTAAAAGCCATCTTGTGTTCTAATGCAAAAATTGCCTCCCGGGAGGCCACCATAGGTGAATGCTCAACCATTCCCCAAAGTTTCACTGAAACTGATTTACTAGCTGTCCCCAAAGCAAATCATGGCACAGCTGTTTGTTGCTCAATGGGGCATTTGTGAAGAATGCCCTCCATCAAATCCGCTGCTGCATTTATCAAATTTCAGTGCCTGTTGCTGGGACTCATTCCTCAGATATGCTTGGGATGCCATGACAGCATCATCCCTGATGGAGTGGATGGATGGATGGCTTATGCTTTGTTGAGAAAGCTCTACAATCTAGGGAACAGCCTTCCCCAACTGGTGTTCTCCAGATTTGTCACATTACAATCCTCACCATCCATAGCCTGCATGGCCATTGACCCTGCTTACTCAGGATAATGGGAGTTGCAGTCGAACACATCTAGAGGAAGTCAGGTTGGGAAAGGCTGTTGTAATACTCGTGTACACTTCAGTTTAAGGAGACTTCATCTGCTTCTGGACTTGCCTCCCACACAGTAACAGAATGCAAGGATGTCCCATCCAAGGAGATAAGCTCTCTCTAGGGACGGGCAGAGCTAACACTGGATTGGAAGTGAGCCGGCACACGCAGTCCAGTTGTCACTGAGAACATTCCAGTCCCAGATCCTTGACATCTCTGATGGAGGAGTGTTGGCTCAGTGGTATAGCACATGCTTAGCATGCAGAAGGTTCCAGATTCAGTCCCCAGCATGTCCAGGTCATATTCCTGCCTGAAACCCTGAAGAGACACTGCACGTCAGTGCTGACAATACTGGATTAAAAGGACCCATGGTCTGGCTCCTTGTAAGACTCTAAGAAGCACCATGCTGGTTCAGACCAGAGGTTCATCTGGGAAAGCACTCTGCTTATAGCGCAGGCAATTAGCCACCCAAGAAAATGCGCACACAGGATGTGAGTGCAACAACCGCTGTCCATGCTCCCCAGCAACTGCGTATGCATGGCAGCTTGCTATGTTCCTACGCAGAACGGGTGTAACTCAGGCAAAGAAATGGTGTTTGCAATGCTCACCCACCTTGTACCACTCAAGACGAGGCGCAGGGTTCCCTCCACTAGCAAAACAGCTGAGCTTGACTTTGGTGCCAGCTCGGAAGTATGTTTCTGGGGGTGGAACATCAATCCAGACCTTCTGGGGTGGATCTGAAAAAAGGCAGTGGCAAGGATGGAAGAAGGGAGAAAGAAAGCATGAACAGATCGAAACATTTCGCGCATACTGCAGCATACCCATTCTTAACCCCATCCTCCTGCTCACATGTTACTCGGAGGGTCACAGTGTCAGTCTTGGTGTACATGATGGCTTCATTGAAGGCTTCGCAGACCAGGGGCAGCCCATTGTCCTCTCGGTTTGTTATATATGTCAGGTTAGATACGGTGATCATCCCACCATTCGCTGCCTGCAAGAGGAAAGCGAACTTCACCCAGTGATTCTCATGTTGCCGCACTGCAGAAAAACTGATATAAGCAGCCAGTTTCCAATTTCGGGGTCCCTATTTCTCACAGCACAGGATACTACTGTCTTCCTTGGGGCTCTTCCCTACAAACCAGGGAGCTTTTACTTCTGCACGCCTTGATCCTGGATGGCAGACAAGATCTGACACAGAAGAGGAGAAGCCAGCTGGGTCAAGAAGACCAGCAATGGAAGCTGTGGAGGGGTGGAAGCCGGACCCAAGCTGCCCCACCACACCAGTGCCTTTCAGCCGGGGGTTCCCTGAGCAACAGATCCCCAGAGCGGAACCCCCAGAGGACTCCCCTGAGGAACTGCTGCCAGGGAGCACCAGCTTTCCTTCATATTATGCCTTGACACAATCATCAACATTTGCTTAGTTTGAAAATCTGAACCTAAAAGACCAGCTGGCCAGGCCAGCAAAATAGGAGCAAATGTCTCTGTTGAGATGAACAAGTGAGGAGAGATGGACCACACAGGGGAGAGATTCCTCTAATATTAGAACTGAGCCTCTCACCCCGTGCCTGATGAAACCCCCTTTGGGTATCTGCTTAGCCCACTGATCTCCACTTTCAGTCAGTGCAGACATTCACTCCCCCAACTCATGGGTCATAAAATCTTGGTTGGGGGGGGTCAAACATCCCTATTGTCCTGGAGACGAACAGATTGCTCGGGGTCTTATCTCACCACCATCCTGCTTAACACGCGTTCTTCCCCAGCTCCGAAAGGTTTGTTTGCAGTTCTTATTCCGTCAGAGTCCTGCACCCTGAAATCCTGTCTCGCTATGGCAGACATATGCACAATTCTCATTTCTGAAATGGAGAATCCAAACGCCTTCCCTTCCTATGCTAAGACAGTCAATGCACTCTTGCATCAGTCTAAGTGCCATGTTGGAGCGCTGGTCTAGGACAGGGGTCTTCAATGGGTACCCCACAGGCAGCAGGCAGCCCAAGTAGCCCTCAGGACAGCCCCTGCCCTCTGTTGTCCCTAAATACTGGTTAAGAAACCCCCCAAACATGACATCCATAGCAGCCAGGCAGCACCCAAACAGCCAAGCTGTGCTTGCTTGCAGAGAACAGCTGGTGCTTTGGGTGCTCCTCAGCCATGCTGGAGGTGCCAAAGGGGTTCAATATAACTTCCATGTAACTATAATTTAAGTTAAATTGATGGCTTTGGGCCAGTCCTCCCAACCTTCTTCACATGGCTGCTGCCAGGATAAAAATGGAGTCGGAGGCGGCCGAGGTAAGCTGCTTTGGGTTCCTTGCAGGAAAAGGTGGGATATAAATGTAACCAATACATAATACTAAATAAATTAGCCTAGGGCAGGGGTGCAACCTCTGGACCCACCTGCTGTGGAAGAGATGGCCAAGAGCACAGCTGTGCTCACGTACAGATCCCATTTATTTCAGGGATGTTTGCACCTGAGGACATCCTGGAAGATCGTGTTGCACAAGTCAGATCTGTCTCCTTCCCACTCCGCCACCCCAATAACTACTGCCCAAGGTAGCCACTGCACTCAGCCTCACAGCACTGCAGCTTCTGGTCTTTCATACCTCTGAGACTGTGGCCTCGGTGGCATTGATCTCCCTCCAGCCCAGCAACCAGCGCAGGAGCACAGGAGGGTTGCTGCTGGACGTGGAACAAGACAAGGAGATCTCCTTGTTTTCTTGGGCACTGCTTGAGCCGGTGATTTTCACTTCTTCAGGGGGAACTGCCATCCCAAAATAAGGAGGGGGAAAAGAGAACAGTCAGACTTTTTTGAGATGTACAGAGTGACTTTTTCTCCTACCCACCTGCCCCCTGCTATTTGGCTTTCTTTAATGGACTTAAAGACAGAGAGGATGCACAGTGTCCGTCCATTTTGAAGGAAGCCCTTTTTTAATGGACATAATGCATCTCAGAAGAAAGGGCCCACCTGTGGAGTGTGGAGGAGAGAAAAAAAACACACTTTTCCTTAGCCTTATATCCTTTGATTCTGGCAAAAGGGTTGCATTTTGGCCATGCTGATAGAAAAATATTCTGGAAAGCTGACCACCCTAACTTAGCTCGGTTAGTTAGTTCGTTGCATAAAAAGAGCTGAAATGCAGAAAGAGGAACAGGAAGAAGAACTGGACACATGTCAAAGAAACTGGGAGATGAACCTTTGACTCAGGTATGGGACAGAGGAAGAACATCAATACAGGTTAGGTTGCTGGCAGGAAGTGTCCTGACACTTACAAACCACAGGCAGAACCATGCTAGCCTGCAGGGGTGCAGGCAGGACGGTGTTCAAGGCCTGGCAGCTCACTGTAGCCATGTTGTCATCCGCTGTGATTCGGAGACTCAGGGAACTCCGGGATAACTGGTTGGCTTCGTCAGTCTCCCAGTTGGTGGAAATGACTTCATCATTCTGTAAATCACAAGACCGTAGCTGAGAGGCAGGGGAGGAGACTGGAATTGCAAAGATGGGATCTACCCAATCTGGAGCTGAAGTTGGCGAGATGCAGGACCAGGCAGGGTGGCCGTATGTCAACTTTCCAGACAACACTCTTCTGTTTGAAGGCATCATGCGATGGTCACAAACATTCCAGTGGATGAGGGAGGAGGGCAAATCAGAGGAATGAGTTGCCTCTGCAAGGGAAGTGAACAGGAAGAAGGGGCAGCAGAAGGGTCGAAGTGGGGAGAGGATACAGACCAGAGAGCTAAGAGGGAAGATGACTCAATAGAACCAAGAAGCCAACAGAAAGTAGGGTGGCTGAATGAAGTTGTACAGAGGAGGCAGTGAAGCGAAGATTAGGTGGAGAATGTGGAGGGCTGAGAGAAAGGCAGAGTGGGCTGAGAAAAACAGAAAAGAATCAAGGCACGTAGATAGCCAAACTGCTTGGCACCAGATACAGGGCAGGAAGGACTTGTTGTTGTGAATAAAGCAGCCAGGAAATTGTTGGCAAAGGCCCCAAGGGGTCAACGGGGCCAAGGAGCTCTTGTAGATCCTGACACAGGAAATTTTCCATGAAAGTATGCAAAGCACTGTTTTCTCATCAGCTGTTAACAGAATAATTACCACCAGGGGACGCTTATGGTGAAGAGTTTGCATTTACCGCATAGAAGAACGCCGCAGAAATGTCAGAGCAAAGATTATGGAGCAGGGAAAAGATTTCAAACTTTGAGGCTGTCCTCCAAAACTGGTGCTCACAGCCAGACAGCTCTCTTTTCCCAAGAGCACAGTGAGAGGAAACCCTAAACCAGCAAACAAGTCAGTAACAAACAGTCTTACATTTCTTGCCTTCCTCCAACAGAGCAGGTTGAAGGGCGAGCAGCCGTCAAAGGGTTGGCCCGGCTCTGGGAGGGAGGGCAAGATGTGCCTTGTGCCCCCTCCCCCACCACCGCCATGACCTGAGTGGGCCCACTGGTTGCAACCCATTCACCTGCCCTCTCCCTCTGGCCCCAGTCCACACTGCTGCCCAGAAGGAGAGGGCAAGGAACATGCAGACAGCTGCTGCACCTGCCCCATGTTTCCACAGCACAGTTCAATCTGCAGGTTAACAACAACCCACACTCAACCCACACTTGAGCCTGGTCTGGGTTATTATGCTGTCTGAACCCAGACATTGTATGCCATACATTGAACATTGAACAAGTCACCTAAGAAGGTTGTGAATACTGTATATACATATGTTTTACATAGACAGTGAAACAAGTATTTGGGGTCGGGGGAATGGATTTTTGCCTCGCTCGTGCTCCTTTGAATCAAGGCCAGAATTCTCAGGCAAAGCACTGCTGGACCTTGGAGTCCCAGCCCACATCCCCAAGTTCTCTATCTCACCTTCAGCCACTGCAGAGTAGCCAGGGGGTTCCCACTTAAAGAAACACAGGTCAGTACAAGGTTGTCCTTGGCTTTTACCACAGGGCCATCGTATCCCCTGATGACAGGAGGCTGGGGTGGAACTGTCAAAGAGAGAGAAAAGGGCTGATATTCCAGTCTTGGGAGCTGCCAATATCCTGACAAGACATGCTTTATGCTTCATGTCTTGCTCTGAGAGCCTAACCTATACACTGTAAACTGGACACCACTGCTAGGGCAGCTGCACCAAACCATCAAATGTTAGAGCTGCAAGGGATCCCTGGAGGTCATCTAGTCCAACCCTCTGCTCCATGCCCTGCAATACAGAATGCAACCTCCTTGCCAGATGGCTGTCCAACCTCTGCTTAAGTACTGTTACTAAAGGAGAGTCCAGCATCTCCCAAGGCATCCTATTCAATCACTGAAGGATTCTTGATATTAGCGAGTTTCCCCAAATATTTACCCCCAAAATCTGCTTCCTTACAGTTTCCAGCCAATAGAGAGTCTTTGTTGCTGTTGTTCAATTGCAAAGTCATCCCCAACCCATCACAACCCCATGGACAACATTCCTCCAGGCTCTTCTGTCCTCCACCATCCCTCGGAGTCCACGCAAGCTCACACCCACTGCCCCAATGACTCCACCTAGCAATAGAGAGGCTAAGAGATGTTTATGTTAAGACCATGGTCAGACAATTCCAGTTGGAGTCCCTCCAACTAAGCCTTCTCTGTGGTGGCGCCCCGACTGTGGAATGTGCTCCCCAGAGAGGTTTCCCTGGCACCGACTTTCTATGCTTTTCAGCACCAGGTTAAAACCTTTTTATTTACCCAATATTTTAAAGTTTAAATATTTTAATCTGGTTTTATTAACATCCTCAGTCGTGTATTATCTTATGATTGATTGCTGTATTTATTGTTTATTTATCACATTGTAAGCCATCCAGAGACAATTGGTATAGGATGGGATAAAAATAGCCTAAATAAATAATAAATAAGCATCTCTTACTTTGGCCCTACCTTTTCATAGACAGATGTAGTCTAGGAGTGAGACCCCAGTCATTAAAAATTGCTCCAAACCATGACAGACACAGTGCTGGAGGACAAGGCTTGTAACAACCTACTGGAAAAGATGGCACCCATCTAAGAGGTGTATTTTTTATGCAAATCGAAGGGGGGATTTCAGCTCAGACAGTTCAGTGTCCGTCAACAGCCAGACAGAGAAAGTTGGAGAGTCAGACCAGAAAAAAGCACTCCTCGGTCCAGCACGTACATATGAAAGAGAGCAAGGGTGTTCCTGTTCAGCAGCAGCTGTTCCAATATCCTTGGATATCCACATGGAACTATAAGGCTTTAATACACTCATCAAATTTAATGTGGATAGTGCAAAACCATGTGGCTCATTAGCAGATTTTATCCGAGATATTGACCAGGTGACATCAGCCTACGGACATTCCATTTTACCCTTGCAGGCTGTACTCAGACTTTACAACCGCACGCATCTGGTTGGGATGCCGGAACCCAGGCTGACTTGGCTTGCCAGGCAGAGAAGGGGAGTGGACACGCCTTTCCTGCCCTCCATACATAGGGGCTGGAGCCGGTCTGGCTGACAGAAGCACTTCATATAATGTAGGGCTTGGAAGGTGAGACTGGCACTTGGGAGAGCTGGGTTCTAGCCCCCACTTGGCCGTGAAGCTGAGGGAGCTGGGTCTCTTCTCCTGGAGAAGAGGAGACTCTGAGGGGATCTGTTGGCAACATACAGGTAGGTGAGGGAGTGTCACACGGAGGTGAGTAGAGACCTGTTTTCCCCTGCAGAGGAAGGCAGAACACGCTCCAATGGGGCCAAGCCAAGGTTCAGTTTGGATGCCAGGAAGTACTTCCTGACAGTTAGGACCCCAAGAATATGGAACAGGTTTCATATTGCTGCCCGGCATTCATGGTCCCCAGCTTCGCCTCAGTTGGGGTTTCCTCCACCCTGCTCCCTTCCTGTACGTGTTTGAGGCAATAAGGATCTGAGGCAAGAGCATTCGAGGTGAATGACTAGAGCTTCTCCATGTTTCTACTCTTTCTGGCTATCTGAATATCCATTGTCAAATTGCCACCCTTTCCCATGTGGTTCAATGGCTGGACTGGGGAACCCAGGTTCTAGTCCCTGCTCTGCCATGAAGCTGAGCAGTCACTGACCTTTGCCCTAACCTACCTCACAGGGTTGTTGTGAAGATAAAATGGTTATGTAAGTGGCCTTGAGCTCTTCGCAGGGGAAAGGTAGAATATTGGTTTAATTTAATAATAAATAAATATTCATGTGAAATGGTCCAAATGAAAAGAGGAAATCTCTCTAAAACTGGGGCAACGGGGAGAGAAGGGAGACCTGGATCTACTGGCAGCTTTTGATTCAAAATGTTTTCATGATAGCCAGAAGCTTCCAACCCACCCCAGAACCAAACCAGAAACGTGGGTTCTGACATGGGTTCAAAGCCTTGCCTGCCATGCCCTCACTGGGCTCAGGCACCAGGGCAACTCCGGTGCTGCAGGGTAACAGGCAAACCAGGCCGCACGCAACCCACACGCCCGGGGCACAGAAGAGATGCCACCGGGGCTGCTTTCCCCTGGTGTTCCTGCAGACCCAGGCAGAGCATTGTTAAGCCCCTGCGGAGGCATCGTAAATGGCTCCCTCTGCGAGCCACCGCTTTGTCTCTTGCTCCGGTTGGTGAGCCTGGTGGGGGGCCTTTGAAGCAGGAGGGAGAGCGGATTCTGCACGTGTGTCCACACCTGCTCCAGCGCACTCACAGGGAACGCACAACGAAGTTAACACGGGCAGACTAGGAGGATGAAAGCAGGCCTGCAGCGGAGATCAAACAAAAGGCGTTCAATCAAGCCGCCTGTTCACAAGCTCATTACAGTCTTTCCAACTGGTGCATTGGCCAAGCTGGTGAGGTATGATGGGAGTTGTAACTCAGCATGTCTCACAGGGCACCAGGTTGGGGAAGACTGCCTTAAATTTATGGTGTTTATTGAGTTAAGTGGGCAAACCTCAAAGATCCCATCAATGTAGGTTATTTCTCATCCCATGCCTGCTTTGCCTCACTCTGAAAAGGTCTCCAACTCCATTTATTATCTTGCCTATTCCCTTGGTTATTGTCTGCTTGCTTTCCCTTATACTGGGTCTCTTGTTTCATTTTCCTGTTATTACAATTGCCCTCAGTGATCTTTCCCTGCCTCCCTCACCTTCCACCCTCCTTTTTCTTCTCCCCATCCCACGTCCTTTGTTTGTTTTTTATTAAGATAGTAATAAAGCAGGTCCCTTGGGCATGTAATAGCGACTATGATGTGGTTGGCTAAGTTTTTCTGAAGATCTGACAAAGCATTCTGTGCAGGGCTGGCACCAGTGGTAGACATGTTTGGGCATCTGCCAAGGCCCCACACAGCAGAAGGTGGATCACCAGCAAGAGCATCCTGGACTTGGTCCTGCTCTTCCCCGCTGCAACCCACTTGGTCAGCCCATGCTTTGCCTTGGCCTGGACAGTGAGAGCAGCGGTACGGAGAAGTGGTGGCTGAGCAAGCAGGAGCAGCGAGGGGAAAGCGGTTGAGGAGCAGTGGCAGCTGCTGGCAAAGGCAGTGAGAAGATGGACTTACTGCGAGGAGGGCGGAGCCATTCAGAGTGCCTTGCCCAGCAGCCCCCCAAACCCAGGGCCAGCATGCTTCCATGTGACTTACACAGGACATTCATAGTGAAGCCAACAGCCACTGGGATCGGTGCAGCGATGTTGGAGGCTCTGCACAGCAGCTGCCGCTGGTTGTCTGAGCTCTCCGGAGTGATCCTGCAAGAAAGCACAGATGAGGAATCACTTGCCAGCATCACCAACACTGCCCTAGACAACGAGGCTGTTCGGAACAGGTGCTCCTTGGTCTGCACTCCAGCCCGCTCTTTCCACCACTCCCAGGCGGAGCAGTGAGTTCCAGGGAGCGAGGGGGCAGTCAGCATGGCCAAGAGCTGCCTGGCCACACCGCCCTGCCCAGCTCTGCTGGAGACCGACATCCAGTGTAGCAAACGGGTTGGTGCGCTACCCCTGGGGGCATGCCCAGCATGACAGTTGCAATAAGCATCTGCTCCTTGAAATTTGCACCACTGCCTGCCAGATCCAATTCTTCTCCTCTCTTGATTGTCTTCCACAGACTTGGCCAGATAGATCATTTCATGTGATGGTCAGACCCTCTTACTCAATTGTGATTATACCTACAAAGCCAACTCCCAATTTTTAGGCTGCTGGTTTTTGTTTTATTTTTCAAGGGAGGATGGTGATGTTTGCTGTAAGCCACCCTGGGCGATCAAAATACAACGGAGGGATGAGCTGCCTGTTTTCCAAATAGATACATACAGTACATGTATTAATTCTGCTGCTGGGTGCTGTGCTGAAGGGCGCTCATGTTTTCCCTGAATGAGTAGCACTGTTGCCCTCTGCTGTCTCCCACAGGGCAGCCATTGGCCCTTCCTTACTGTCCCCTGGCAGCCCTTCAAATAGAGGACTATCCTCTCTTTTGAGCAGGTATACCTGTTTGAGGGACTCCTCAGTCCCATTTCTGTTTAAAGAAAAATTACCATTAAGAACTGTTGCTTATAAAAGTGCGCACCCGGGCAGCCAAATAAACAGATAGACACACATGACACCTGGTTGCAGACTCCCACGGTGTGGTGAGATCTATTGTATCTTTCTTTTAACTTTGATGATTCTTTTGGAATGTGTATCTATACACAGAGATGATTATATGGAACTTCATGCGTATTCATGTCCTTTTGCATCCTCTCTTCGGAGACGCATTTCCTCTTTCTTGGCAATTGGTGAATGGCCACTCCTTTCTGTGGTCTAATGGTTCTGCAGAAGCAGATATTCGCCTTCCCTGGGTTGGGGAGAGGGGGCACCCTTGTTCTTCTTCCCCAGTAAGGCTAATTGCGGTTCTGCAGGTGGAGGGATGATTTAGACTGGGGAAATGGTTGTGGGGTGTACACATAACCATCTATTCCAGCCTGGTCTGAAGGAGACAGAGGGCCAAATTAGAAAAATGCTTTAAACAAAGGGGTCAATCTTCCATGGGGGTCATTCAAAGATTTCATGGATAAAAGAAGATCTGCACGGTTTTTACTTGGCCATATGGCTTCAAACTTGCTAAATGTGACAGCAGCTTTTAAAAAAAGGATCAGTAAGGGAAGAGGAATGCTAGTCCTACAACTATTTAGGACCCTTTCGGGCTTCTCCCTACGTCAGCATGGCCTCAGTGTGGAAGAGCTTGTCTCCAGAGCCAGGTTGGGTGCTGGACGTCACATCTGCCAGCTCATGGGCACCTAGAGAGATGAAGAAGCAAAGTAAGAGAAGTGAAACTGCCCTGACCAAGCCAACCTGTCCAATATTCGCATAACAACCTTCAAAGATGCTCCCCTCCCTAGTATCGACATGGTTTGGAGCAAGGTTTTAGTATTAATGCCTGACATTTATATTAAGATTATAGCTTTCTATATCCCCCTGCCCTGTGTGTGCACATGTGCAGGAATAAGTAGGTACATATATGCCACAGATGTGCATGCATCTGCCTGTCTGTTTAATATATATATATATATATATATATATATATATATATATATGAAACAAGTGAATTCAGCTGGGTTGCATGCTTTGTGGAGAACGAGATAGCCAGAACCAGTTTGGTGGCTAGTTGGAAACTTAGAACGGCATCCACTTTCCCATGAATGAAAACACTCTCCATGCTCTTCTACAGTTCTAGGTAGTTCAGATGAACCTCAAGACACGGAACTGCCCACTGGATCACGCTCCACTGCCTGCTATCTACTCTGCCATCTTAAGGATAGCCCAAAATAGTATCCAGGGTGGTGCGTACAGGAAGCAAAATTTACAAGACCTCTGACGACTCCAGTTCTCCCTTCCCCAGAGGAGACCAAGCCTAGTAGCTCAGCACTGCCAGGGAATGTCTCTCAACTCAGGGAAGTGGGGAGCGTGTAGCAAGCTGATCCCAGAACTCAGCCTTGGGAATGCAAGGGGTGTTCTGGGCAACTTCCTCACCTTTGCGGAAGACAATCTCAGCTGGAGGGCGGGCATCTTCCACCCGGCAGTGCACTGTGTATTCCTTGCCAGCCACCCAGGTCACAGTGCTGTTGGCCTCATACTCAGTAATGACCGCTTTCTTCGGGGGGACTGTAAGGAAAGGAAGCAAAGAGGAAAGTGATGCCATGGGGTTACTTCCCCTATTCTACCCCACGACCATGTCGAAAAATTGATTCCCAAAGGTTTTCAACTAGATTAGAATAAGACAAGCATAGGGCCTTCAAATGTCTAAGAGCACAGCTCCCATAAACTCTGGCAGCATGGTCAATGGTCAAGAATCAGGGGTGGTATAATCCCAGACATCTGGAGGGCACCAGCCCTCTGAGCACAGAAGCCTTCCCACAGAGGCATGACTGGGGAGGAAGAGAGAGGGAAAGAGAGGGAAGGGGGTGCAAGACACACAACGGGTGCGGGAAGAAAGGGATGTGCTGGGAAGTGGTTTGCATGTGTAAGACTGTGTAAGTATGGGAGAGAGGGGGGTGAGGGGGATGGATGCCACAAGGAAAGAGAAGTCAGGGGGTATGTGAGAGAGAAAGAAGGAAACTCCAGAGAGAGAGAGAGGATTGTATGTGAGAGAGAGGAGGAGGCAGAGAGTGGGAGACAAAGAGACACAAGGGAGTGGCAGAAAGAAAGGGAATAATGGATGGAGTAAGTGAGAGGGAAGTGGAAGAGTGTATATGAGTTGCAGTGGGGAGGAAAGAAGATAAAGTGATCGAAGAGGGTAGAAGAGAGAGAGGTGGGAGTGCTAGAAAGGGGAGGGGTAAATGCGAGAGAGAGAGAGAGAGAGAGAAGGTAGCAGAAAGAGGGAGAAGGAGAGAGACAAGGAGGTGGCAGAAAGGAGAGGAGAGAAAGAGCAAGGAAAGGGGTGGTCCTCCCTTTTTAGGACCCTCTGGTCCCACCCACCATTGGCTTCACCCCTGTCCAGTGCCAGCCCAGAGCCCCTGACTGTGTCTTCCTGGGGGAAAGCAGCTGTTGACCAAACCAAGGTTCCCCACTCCAAAAGCAGATAAGCAGAAAGTACGACCTGGTGCTAAATATTGCACGGAGGCTGCTTCTGAACAGAGGAAGCTGTACCAATTTGCTTAAGCATCAGAGCAACAGAGCACAACCCTCCCAGAATCCCTCTGGTACTTACTCAGCACAGTGAGCTGCACACTGCGAGAAATGATGCCGTTACTTTCTTCAGAGGGGCCCACCTGGCACTCATAGGAGGCGTCGTCCTCCAGCCGGCTCCTCGCTACTTGCAGATTATATTTGCCTGAAGCAGGGAATGTACATGGTACACAAGCACGAGCTTAAGTGGCATTTCCCCACCCCTGGGATCCATCCTCCAAAGTTGCTCCAGGCTAGTCAGGCGATGGATCTCAGATGCCCAGCTCCCCACCTTCCTTACAAGGAAGACATATCTTCAGTTCTGCCTCTTCCCAGCATTTCCACCATGCCATGTGGAATAATCTCCATAATCGAGGTTTTGATACACTGCATGCAGCCCACAGGCAGCCCCGCCCACTTGTCCCCGCTGCCCAGCTGATCAGTCATCAGCTGGGCAGCAGAACAGACGGTTGTGATTTTGCCTGTGGGGTCCATGGAGGAGGAATTAAAGCTTCCACCAGGATCCTGACCAAGACTGCTGCTTTCCTGCTGCACCTTGCCTGCATGACTGATTGTGAGAATGTGTGTGTACCTCCTGCCTCCACCACCACCAGCCCCAGCCATGGGTGAAGCCTCCAAAGAGTTCTGCAGTTGCATGAGTGGCCTTCCAGCAGAAAATTTTGCCCTCCCCTGTTCTAATGGATAATATTGATGGAAGCCAGTCCCACCCCCAACACACACACACCGGGATTTTCACCTTTATCGGGCTCCCCCACCATGCTGTATCTTGGGAACCGAGGAATATTCTGGTCAGGTCCCAGCAAAAGCCCATCTTTTGCCCACTGCACAATGCCGGAGGGGTTTTCCACCTCGCACTTTAGCAGAGCTGCCTCTCCTTCGCGGACGGTGACGTTATCAGGTTCCACACGGAAGGCCTGCTGAAGGTTCTCCGAAAGACAACCTAACAGACCCAACACATAAATGTTCTTCAACAGCTATGCTCATTCATCACTTTTAAGTAAGAATTTCCATTTCTGTTAGACTGACTCATATTTTTTCAAACAACTGAGAAAATCTGAGGGCATCTCAAATTCCAAGGTTCAAAATATATCACTTCTGCCTGTTTCATCATTGAGAGCAGACTTATCATAGAATCATAGAATAGTAGAGGCCATGAAGGGGCCATGAAGGCAATCAAGTCCTACCCCTTGCTGTTGCAGGACACCATGTTACACCATCCCACTCAGATGGCTGCCCAGTTTCTCCTTGAATTTCTCTAGTGTGGGAGAGCCCACCACTGCTCTAGGCAGCTGGTTCTGCTGTTGTGTTGCTCTGACAGTGAGGAAGCTTTTCCTGATGTCCAGCCTGAATCTGGGTTGTCGCAACTTGAATTGATTATTCTACATCCTACACTGTGGCAAGAGATCTTGACCTTCCTCTTTGTGACAGCCTTTGAGATACTTATAGAGGGATCTCATGTCCCCCTCAATCTTCTCTTCTCAAGGCTGAACATGCCCAGTTCTCTAAGTCTCTCCTCACAGGGCAGTGTTTCCAAACCCTGGATCATTTTTGCTGCCCTCCACTGATCCCTTTCTAATTTACCTGCATCTTTCTTGCTGCATCTCATACAAGTATTTGTGGAGAAAATAGCCCCAGGACAAGGCATTTTGTTCCCCAAGACAACCTTCACATTCTGTCCCTCTTCTGAATTTGCTCACCTTCTTTGGTCAGTTCCAGGAGAAAGTACAACAGTAACACGCCCACGTTCCAGGGCATCCTTCCTACCTGCTGATGTTCTGCAGGTGTAGCTTGGAATGTCAGGAGGCTGGGCATCTGCAAGAGACGGTAAGTAGCAGTGGGTGTGTATGGAAGAGGACAAGGTAAGAGACCTTATCTTCCACATCTGGTCCAATGGGCAATGTTGCCTTAGACCAGGTGTTGGGGGAAACTGCTGATAAAAACAAAGGAAAAACACTTAGAAGTTCATTATCATAGTGTTGGATCATCCACTCCAGCCGTCCCTAACTCAGTGTCCTCCAATATATTGGACTACAACTTCCATGCTGAGATTGATGGGAGTTGCTCTCCAGGCCATCAAGAGGGCACCAAGTAAAGGTGTTCCTGTTCAATATTCTGTTTCTGCCAGTGGCCCATTAGATTGTTCTGGGAAATTGACAAGCAAGCCCTGAAAGCAACAGACCTGCCCTAGTCTTACATTACCAGAGTCTGGTACAACAGAGAATAGTGACTTTAAACAGGGAGCTACTGTGAGTGATAGCTGTCAATCATCAAATGATAGGGCTGGGACCTTGGAGGTGATTTATTCCAGTCCTCTGCCGGACACAGGAAACCTTGAATGAGAGCATCCCAGCTGATGGCTGTCCTGCCCTTGCTTAAAGACATCCAGCAAAGAAAGGTCCACACTCCTCTAGATAATGGCTTCCACTGTTGAACTGGCCTTATCTTGAAGACGATTCTCCAAATGTCCAACTGCAATCTCCTCTCCCATATTTTAAGCCCACCGAGACAAGCCCTCTTGGGTATTGCTGAGAGCAAATCATGGTCCTCATCTGTGGAACAACTCTTAAGATATTTGAGGAATGCTTTCAGTTCCTGCTTCTCACTTTCACAGCCTTCCCTCACAAGAAAGCTGTGGGTATAAGTAAAATAAAAATGGGAAAGCATTATCCTTTCCCAATGCGACCTCTTACATATGCGTGAATGACTACACCGAACTATGCCCCTTCCTTCCTTTTGATCTTACCTTGTTCCCAGTGAAAGATTCTCGGGCTGACCCTCGACAGCCTCTCCAGAAGTGGGGCTGCCCAGGAAGTGAGATGGCTGAAATTCCAGTTCTGCTCCCTCCTCCTCCTCTCGCTGCTGTCGGCTCAGCCCACTTCCATCCCTTCCAAATGCTCAGGGGAAGAGAACCATCCCACGCTTCCATGGGGGAGTCTTTCATTAAAGACATGGAAGGAGGCCTGCTATCAGCAAAGGCTACACTCTAGCAACAGAACAATTTCCAGAATGCACTTTTCTCCTGATGGTGGTGTTGTATTTGTTGTTAAGTTTCCCTTACCTCAAAAAAGTCAAATCGAATTGATGACAAGCTGGTTTGATTTTGTTTGGTTTTTATTATGTTTGTCTTTTGGAGATTGTGGTTGTTTTTAATGGGAGGTGCCAATTCCTGCATGTTGGGTTACGGTTGGGTTAGAGTTATTCAGGATGCCCAGAAATGAAACCACTGCTGCATGACTCATGATGAGCTATGCACTTGTTTAATCGGTGCAGATCTTTGCAAGGTCCGTCCCATCCATACCTCCATCAATACTCAATGATAGATGCATCGAACTGGAAGCAATGGTGTAAATGGGGCCAAGGTTTGTAGAAATATATCAGCACTTTGTGATCAGCAGGGTCACTGATATCATCTGCCTTACATAGCAGCCAGCTTGCTATGTAAGCAGACGCCACCATGGGTAAATTTCCCGGTGGGGCTTGTTATCACACTGGCAGCAGCTTGTTTGAATATTCAAGGTGTAATAGGGGCATGCCATAGTGTCTCCTTATGTGCAAGCCTGGTGATGGTAGGTTGTTGCTATGGTTGATAAGCCACACACAACCCTAGAACAGCCCCTGGGTTCTGGGTGGCTTGTCCACCACATATAATGTGAGGCTATGGACCTCAGCCATACACTGAATATTCAAAATAGCAGCTACTGATGCAATGAGAATCCATGCAGGGAAATTTGCCCATGCTGACTGCTCCTTCACCCATTAAGCAATCCACCAATTCCCCTGTTGTTTTTCTATAAGTGGACCCCACTGTACGCAAGGAAGAAGTCCCAGACACGGATCTCACATTGCTCAAAGCTGCCCTCTTGTTGCTTTTCACAGGGCTGTTATCTCTGCCTTTGCTGTGCATGCAAGGTGCCCTCACACCTGCATCCACAATCATGACTGCAGAGCAGTCACCCCGGGTTTTGCTCTGATCACTAATGCCCACATGTGAATCCACCCAAAGGCAGCCGGCAGCAGAGGGTGGCAGCAGCACGCATACCGAGCCAGAAGGGGGCGCTCAGCACCACGAGAAAGCCTCTCTGTTTAGGGATGAGGCAAGTTCAACAAGCATTGCCAAAGTCAAAAGGACAGAGAAAACTGTGAGAAACCGTACAAATGCAGGAGTCCTCGGTGCAAGGTCAAAGAGGACGAGCGGATTTTGACTCTGCCCTCCGAGAGTATTCCTTCCAGATAAGTGAGCCTGGGCAAGAAGCCTCTGTCGGGGAGAAAGGTCCCGTTTTGCTTAGCAGAACCTTCCACATCCTTAAGCTGCACTTGCACTGATAACTCCCTTTGCATCAGGCACACCTGGGTGCTCCACCGACGTGTGCCAATTTCACAACCAATATATCCGATCTGCATTGCAGCAGAGACATAATCACAGGTATAATCATGCTCTGAGCAAGAGCAGGAATAGCAATTGCACCAGGTCATCCTGCAGTGCAGCTCATTAGTATGAAGTGCCATGCCCTTCCCTCCCTCTCGCTTCCATGTTGGACCTGCAAAACACTAGTAAAGGCATGGCCTTTGGCTCGTCATCTTGGGATCCACAGCCAAGTGTCTTTAGCTGCAACAGATTTAGCACCGGATTGAAGGCATATATCTCTATGTGGGTCTTGGGAGATAGCCTTCATCAGCAGATTCAAGCCCAGGATACGTCCACAGCTGAGTAAGTGCTGGCTCTTTGCCTGAGCTCATGGCAGTGTGGGGCGGGGGAGATCAATCTACATCCAAGAACCCTGCACATCCGTCGGGCTTGTGCAGAACTGCAGGCAGGTATGCTGGTCGGGATGTCTTGCAGGCTAAAGCTAGCAGGAGTTACCAGTCATGATGGCTCTAGATTACCCAGCAGCACCAGAGAGGGACTGCCCTCCACATCAGCTGGTGAAGAACCTGAGCAGCACGCCAGGGTGGTCTCATGGTTAGAGTGTTGGACTAAGGACCGGGGAGACATCAGTACACTAGGTGACCTTGGGCCAATCATATACTTTCAGCCCAGCCTACCTCACAGGGTTGTGTCTGTGAAAATGCAATGGAGTGGAGGAAAACTACATCAGCTGCCTTGGGTTCCTTGCAAATAAAAAGTGGGATATAATGCAACACAATAATATTTTGAAAGAGGGCTTTTGCACTCACGTCCAGCATTTGGTTGCAGAGGAGGCTAGTAGCTCAAGCATCACTGGGGCAGTGTACACACTCTGGGTTTTAGTCTGAACTTGGAAGGAACTATCCATGCTGCCAAAGTCTAGCCCCAGAATTGGTTCAGCACGGAGGATAGTTCCTTAAAAGCTCCAGCTGTAGCCTGCAAAGGATACAATCACCCCACTGACATCGGCACAACCAGCCTCCAGTCTAATTTATTGCGTTTAGTTCATTTCTATACCATCCCACAGCCAAAGCGCTCTGGCCATTCCCCTGGTCTAACTGGCCACTGCATTGTAATTCAGGACCAGCTGGGCCTTTCGTCAGCTGCAGCGTGCCTCCTCTTCTATTCTTAGCTGAAGCAAAAACACGGGTTTTCCAGCATCCACTTTGCACATTACGGAGAACATGCACAGAGCAGTTGTGAAATTGTGCCCACTGTGCTCACTCCTGCTCCCTGCGAACAGTCAGCCTCCCCTCTCAGCCATCATGAACTGTGCACGCACAGCGGCTCTGTGTGCACAGCTGGGGCTCTGCCTTTCCAGGGTTCCCCAAGGAGAATATTCACATAGAGTTTGTACATGCATATGCTTTTAAGCGCACATGCTCACGCAGAAGTTATGCTTCGCTCCCTAGACACATCGATTGCCATGGGTGAAGAGGGCCCCTGCCGAGGACATAGATTTTGTTTCCAGCGCTCTTTAATAGAGTACACCCGCCATCCTGCGCCATTAAAATACCTGCTCGCGGGCTGAGTTACTTCTAACGCTGCATTCGGCTACTCACAAATAACCTGTTGGTGTGATGGGAAGGCAGGTGGACAGAGGTCTGGTCTCTTGCGGGAACCTCAGAGGAGTCGAGTGTCTAGGGAGAGGGAGGGTCGTGCTTTCACTCCGGGGGCACATCCTAAGTGTCAGGTTTGCTTTACTTGCCCCTTGCACACCCCATAGGAGACTGAGGACCTGAGAAGTAGAGTGATTTGGGCCTGCTGAGAGATCCAAGGCTCTGCAGGCCGCATAAGGCCTGTGGGCCAGAGGTAGCTCACCATTGCTTGGCACTGTGTGTTTATTATTTATTTATTTGAAGCTTTTCTATCCCGTCCCATTACAAAAAGTCTCAGGACGGTCATACAATAAAAGATAAAACTACAAAAGCACAACATCACATCCTCTGTAAAATCCCAATTAAAATAGCAATTGAACCCTAAAAGAGTGGGAAAATAAAAAGGTTTCGGCCTGGCACCAAAAAGAATAAAGTGTGGGTGCCAGGCACACCTCTCTGGGGAGCATATTCCATAGCTGGGGTGCCAGCACAGAGAAGGCCCTTCTCCAGTAGCCACTCTCCTAATCTCCTTCAAAGAGGGCTCCTGAAGAAGGACCCTTGACCCAGCTCTTAAGGGGCAGGCAGGTACGAAGGGAAGCAGACGCTCCTCCAGATATCCAGGTCCGAAACAGTCCTATCTAGAGTAGTGAGTATTTATTTTAGTTTTTAATGGGGCAGCACTTGCTTTTAAAGTTGGGCTTGTTTCCCTTTGCAAATGCTTTTCATTGAAAAGCAAATGCTTTTCATCCATC